CCTAACTGCGAATCGACACGTGGGTCGACGCATAGGCGCGTGCGTTTTGTTTCGCTCGAAACACGCGGGTAAGAGAAAAAAGCACGTGAAAAACTGGCCGAGACAATGAACGAGCGCAGCTGGTTAAACGTGGAAGGGTTAGCGATTAACATAAAAGGGTACCATTACGTGGCGCGAGACGCAATCGGATTCGAGGCGAGCTGACCTAACAAGCGGTATTTATACGCTGTTTTTGCGTTGGAAAAACACACACGGAATGTCGACCCACCCCGTGAGATCAGATACAGGCGATCAAATAGCTTCTATAGAATCCAGGAACAATTCTGAGGTAATTATGGCTGATATCGGGTTGTTGATGTTGTTAGAAATTTTGAATTTTCTGTGATACTTCTTTTCGAACGGTGTTTCAAATGATTTTTAATTACATTATATTATATAAACTGTATGAAAATGTGGAAGAATATTGGTAACGCTTACTGTAGATGATAGTAACGATAAAGAGGGGTAGTATGCTGTTTCTGCAAAAACGCCATCTCCAACACCTAAAAAATGGAAAAGAATAAAATTATTACTTACTTGACAATTTATTGCTTAAGAAAATAACGAAATGCTACACAATGAAATTTACTTTCATTTAAAATAATATTCGTGTCATTTGAAAATACGTACCTTCCAACGCTTCCAAACACAGCTCGATCCTTTCCATTATAATTTTCTTACCAAACTTCAGGAATATAGACACGATGAAGCTGGTGGCAATGAACAGTCTGCCGGCAATTTGTCATCGACTTTTCGAACGTTTCAACGTGACCAACCAGCCGAAAGGACGCAACAATAGCAATAATCGCTCGGCTAGCGGGAAAGTTTCGAAAAATCACTCCTCCGCGGTAAAAGAGAATAAATCAAACAAAAGGATAAGAGCACGATGGAGTCTGCGGTATAAATCGAAAACCGACGAGAGGGTAGCTGAAAATTGTCGATGGAGTTATAAAAGTGGGCTCTGTGACCTCCTGCCACCCCTTCAAACGCACCCTGATGCCACACGAACAAACAATCCGGGATGGCTGTCCTCGGATAGCGAACAATACATTATTTATGTCTAGCTCCTAGTTATCTTGCTTGGTCCGGAATTTGTTCGCGATGCATAAGTATTAAAACCTTCCCTCAAAATGGTTATTTAATCAAACGTACGACATTTGAATGTATTTTCACATAATCTATTAACACTAACCTAATAGTCTAAATAATCGTTTTCTAATTTTTTAATTCAAAATTCTATATTCAGTGTTATCGCCCTAGTCACTTGACTTTTCGATTTTTCTTTTAATATGCGTATTATGAATTTTCAATATTTTTTCTTATTCCATTTCTTTTTAAACTCTTCTCTCTTCATGTTTTCATCTACAGGTCTTTCGACCGGTCGTGGTAGATTTAGTGTTAATAAACCTCTCTTTCGAAACCTTATGGATACTATTAATTACAATGTTTTTCTCTATCGAATCATTCTCGAAAAAATTCTCACCTTCTTTTGCTAATTTCAGTGTCTCCAGTGCAATCGAAGTTACGAATTGCTCCGCAACGAATTTGGAAAAAACCGTTGCTACAATCAGCATAACGTATTGGTCGTTCGAATTACATAGTACAAGGTTCTATTCTAATTTACTAACGTACCTTCCAATGTTCACCGTACCAAGTCGATCTTCTCGTATAATAACGTTTCACCTTTCTATATATATTTTTTTCCAAGCTCCTTTTATCGTCATTCAGTAACTTTGAAGCATTCAGATCAACTGCGTCGCAGAAATAGCTAGAACAGAAAAAATGGCAGTGTGAAAGAGAAAAAAAAAATGAACACGTCGGCAATACGAGTAAAAAGCGGTGCTCGTTAAATTACAACAGTTACCGAACTCCGATTCCGGGTAAAGAGAAACCGACGAACGAAACGCGACCGTGCATCGGGCAGAGAGACAGAGAGCAGCGATACATAGAGAAAGAGGGTGGCTTTATATATGCATACGAGAACATTCAGGTGTCAATCAAGAATCGAGACCTTTCGACTTTGGGGTGCGGAAATCGGACTTTTCTCGAAAAAATTTACGTATTCATTCACGCCGCCACGAATAGGGTGAAAAGGAGAGAAAGTGAGAAGCAAAGCGAGAGGGTGAGTGAAAAAGAAAGAATTCAAGCGAAAAGTCTGTTTGCTTTTTTACCGCTCTTGACTTCATATTCGAGAGCATATTTTTTGCACCAACCGTCACGCATTGTTAACGTCAACTTACTCGTCTTCTCTCTTTCTTCTTTTCTCTTTTCTTTTCTTCATACACCGCGACGAAAAGAAAACCGCCTGGTAAAATTCACTACGTGGTAACACAAATTTCACAATTTCGTTAAAATATTGCACTCTGATTAAGTTTCGAACTACGTAAATCAAAGAAATATTATTATTCCTTCAAATTACTAATACCACTATCTTTACAATAATAATTTTATGTGTTTTCTTTACTTTTCATTACTATCATGATGAAAAATAAATTCTTTTTTATTAATTAGTGTTAATCATGTCCCTGCGATACACTGCTTCCATCTATCCAACTGTTGGCAATACAGTTCGAAATGATTTAATTAGATGGTAACATCTTCTAGTAGATAACCATTTATATTCCGTCAAAACGATAACAAAACGCAGGAAACTTCTTAACCAGTGAAAATGTTTTATTACTGATAACGTATCGTCTGTACCGTATATAATATTTTTATTTCTCATAATTTCTATTAGTTCCATTCAGAAATAGTTTTCTTTCACTTTACACGAGTAAGAAATGAGAACTTCCATACGTAACCTTAAACTCAAACTCCTATTATAAAAATAAAAACGTATATTTGTCAAATGAATAACTCAATAATGTATGATTGATATTGTTATAAGAGACCCATTATGACAGTTTAATTTTAACAAAAGCAGTAAGTTATTCTTTCTTTTTCTTTTTGATAAAATTCACGTATACTTTTGAAATAACCAATTTTTGGTCGAAATATTATAGTTATTTTAATTTATAAGTTACTCCATTTTCTTTCTTTTTTTATATCTGATTTTTATGTAATTGAGATTTTAACATAGATTTTGAATTATTATTTAAAATACATATTACAAAAATTCTGTATGTATTTATTTTCATACATCTAAACACGCTCCTAATTGTAAAGAATATGATGTTACCAAGCTGATTTAATTAATGACTTAAAAATGAAAATATTTTTAAACAATCATCAATACGAATATTTAAAACTAAAATTACGCGAGAAAGAACATTTTTCTTTAAAACTTATACATGTTGTACATATAAGCTTTTCATCTTTGAAAGATATTAAAAAAATATTTAAGATTTTTTCTCAGATATCTGCTAATTAATGCAATACTTATACTTTCAAAAGCACAAAAAAATGTAATAAAAAATAAATAAATTTTCAAGTTGCATTCTTCTTCATCGCTTGCACAAAACAAGTATGCGAATTTTCTCAATATAAAATGTTTTCATGAATATCTAATATTATAGAAAAAATGTAAAAAGTAATCTTTTATTTCCAAAAATAAGCATTTTCCAACTGGCAATAAAATCTGCTATATGAATTCTGTATTTATTTGTTATTGTTAATTTACAATTTTCTATAACCAAATAAAAAATTTGTGTTCCATACAATAATTAGTACTAATTATAGCGTATATTTCTATAACTATCTAATTGTAAATTTTCAATTATTTCATAGTAGATTCCAATAAAATTTCTAATCAAATATAAGATTCTACTAAAATAAAGTTTTAATCGAGAAATATATATGTATTGCCTTATAATTATCTGTTTAAAAAATAATACAAAAAATAGAAAAAAAATATTTTTTAATTATTCTATTACATTTTTGGTATGAGACATTATCAGACAACGTATTTTCCCGAGTTGGAATAGCGCATGATACACGACCCGCTCGCCTCGTCTCGCTTTGCGTTTTCACAGTTCCTGAATACCGGATGAATATCGGTCTGCTTCACTGCAAGTCGGACATTATATCGCTTTTACATTTATAAAGCTGTCACACACCGACTCACACGTCATTGTGAAAGGGGTATTATGCTTTAATAATGGACAGCACCACGTGTCAGATTCATCCGGTAGGATGGAAATGCTACGAAGTTTATTTTGTTTCAGGACTCTAGGGAATCCAATAGCGACGTGTCGCAAAACATTTTACATAATCAATCATAATTTTACCTGTGCAACAACAATATTATATGGTTTTACCTTACTATCAATACAATATTTTCCAATTATTCTTTATCCTCACGATTTAAAAAACATTAACTCATTATACAAAAATGTCTCCTCAGTAGATAACGTTAATTAATTTATTATAAATACTTAATAATTACACTTCTCTCTCATTATTCTAACTTATTATCCAAAGCATCTTTGTTTTTGATCAAGTTTCTTCTTATGTCCTTCTCAATATTTCTTTCTAATCTTATTTTAATACTTCTATACTTTGTAATAAAGAAATCACTTCTTTTATACATAAAAATATATCAACAATGCAATTTTACAATCAGAATATTATTTGGACTAATTGCTTACTTGTTTGTTTAAATACAGATATTTTCATTAAAAAAAAAACTAAGTTATGTAATTTAGTAATTAGTATTCTCCCCCTTTTAATTACATATCATCAAAATGATTTTTAAATACGATATGTAAATACACTTTTATAAATACATGTACACTTTTAAATATTAGATATTAAAAAGATACTTATTTATTCAATTTAAGAAATTTATTGAATAAATTTATATTGTAATTTAAGACAATAACACGATTAATATAACAAATATGCATTTAAAATATTTATATAAATAAGTTATCTGTAAAGTATTGAAAAATTAATTGTTTTAATTAAGTACCATATAAATATAAACATACATATTTTGTAAACGGTGCCACGTTCATAAATAATAATAAATTAATGAACAATGCAATAATAAGCAAATAAAATGAAAATAAATATTTCAGGAGGGTGAAACCAATATCCTTCTTAAACAATAATTTCTCCGATGCATTTGATTAATACTATGCAGATAAAAATGTTAAACATCATAAATTAAATAGAAGCAAGATATTCATTATATCTCTTTTCTTGTGCTTGCTGCAATTTTTGCAACTTTTTCATCTGTCCTTTACTGATTTCTTTACCATTGATATCATGCGTTGGTAAACCCTAAACAAAACAGTTGCTTAAGCAATGCAAAAAGAAATTCATTCCTTTTATTAAATTTAATCAAATCTGATCAAATATATCTGATTTAATCAATTCTATGTACCTTACTATCAAATTGAGAATATTTAGTTTCTTCTAATTTAAACATCTCAGAAGGTGGAATCTTTTTTTGTGCTTCTTTTAGTGCAGCTGCAGCAGCAGCTTCCACTTTCTTCTTTTCCTTTTCTAATGTTTTTTCCAACTCCATTTGCATCTTACATTCCTTTTCTTTTAAAAGTTCTTCTCTATTTACTAATTTAATTTTACAAACCTCCTCATTACTATCCTCCAAACGTACTCCAATATTTGGTAAAATATCATCACGTAATGTATCACATTCATTAAGAATACTACTAGCTTCCAAAGTTTTTGCATAATTTCTTACTTTCTCACGGAAATTTGCCAGAACTTCGAGATATGGCATAACAACCTCTTCAACCTTTAATAAAATTCATAGTTAAGAGATTCAGAATGCATATAAAGGAAGAATACAAGTATTATAAAAATAAAATATACATTTAAATTCGCAGTATTGCTATCTACTGGGAAACCAATAGCATTATGTGTTGATGATATAGCTCCAAATATAGTAAACATTTTTGTAATATAAACTGCAACATCTCTAAGCAACAATGTATTTGGATGTTTAATCTGTTTCATATAAATATTACAGTGCACTACAAGATCTCTAATTGCATCAAGCGCACTTCTTGTATCAATATTATCTGCAATAACATTTATCCTTTAATTACTGTTAATATATAAAAATATTATACAATAACTGACAGTAATGAAATATTTATTTACAGTATATAATTTATAAACATTTACTTACCACATAATGCATTATGTACAAGATCTCTGGCATTATGAAACTTTTCATTCAATTCTACTTCAAAATTTGTCCATTTAGTAAAGGTATTAATGTTTATTTCTGTACCTAAAGATCTAATCTCACACTTTACATTTAAAAAAAATTCCTATAATTCAAATTACAGATTTTAAATATCCATTGTCAAATATTAAAAGTTTATAAAATAATGTATAGTAAATATTTATATTTACATTTAAAAACTTTTCATATTGAACTGCCATTTGCATGGTATTATCACTATAATCTAATGTATCTTTCCATGAATGCAAAAGGAATGCAAGCCTAAGTTGCCTTGCAGAATGTTTTTTCAATGCATCTTGTACAGTAATGAAATTTTTTAATGATTTCGACATTTTGCATCCTGCTATAGTTAAATGACCAGAATGGAGAAAATATTTAACCCAATTAGAATGATTAAAATATGCTTCTGCTTGTGCTATTTCATTATCATGGTGGGGAAACTTTAAATCTACTCCTCCACTATGAATGTCTAAACTTTCTCCACAAATTATAGATGCCATAACTGAACACTCTATATGCCAACCTGGCCGTCCTTTACCCCAAGGACTTTCCCACCGTGGCTCTCCTTCTTTTGAACATTTCCAAAGAGCAAAATCATTTGCTGATCTTTTTTCAGATACCTCTAATGTACTTAAATCTCCTAGATAAAAAAGATGATCAATTAAAATTTTATAGTAGCATTTCATAAAATTAGTCTTTACCTTCTCCTTCTTGTAAACTTGATGTATCACCATATGCTTCTGGAACAAGTTTAGCATAATAATGTTTATCTTGTTTATCAAAGGTGGCAACATCAAAATACACAGAACCATTACTCTCATATGCAATTCCATTTTCTATAATTTTTTTAATAAATGCTATAATTTCAGGAATGTATTCACTAACTCTTGTTAAAACATTTGGTCTTAATACCTAAGAAACATTATTGTGAGCTTTTCTACACAAGTGATTAACATGCAATTAAAAGTAAGAATATATTTAATTTTACATTTAAAGAATTCATATCTTTATGAAATTCCACTTCCCAATGTTGCGCTAGTTTGGTAAAAATTGAATGTTCCGTAATTGTAGCTCCTTTCTTTTTATCCAACCATTCTGCTAAGGGATCTCGCATTTCTTTTAGTAACAACTACATCCATAGAAATTATAAACATAATGTCTTTAAATAAATCATTAAATAAAATTAGTAATAATATTATTAATATTAAATAATAATATTATTACTACTTATAAATCCATTGTTTATACTTCAACAATATAAAAAAAGTATATGTACTTCTTGAAATTCCTTCATTTTATCCTCATCTTTAAGTTTTACTGCATTCTCAAGATTTTCAATAGCCCTTTCTACATTACACAATATCTTCTGTAGCATAGATTTCTTATCTACATCATTTGTATTCTTCACTGTATCTTCAAAAATGAACATTACATTTTTTGCATCATCCAAAATTTTATCAAGAGTATGATTCTCTTTTATATATTTCTCATATAAATAATTTTGTCTAGCTCTTATTATAATTTTATCATCTATGTCAGTAATATTCATTACATATAAAATATTATATCCAAAATAATCAGATAACACACGTCTTAATATATCAAAGGATATATATGATCTAAATAAGAATAAAGTTATAAAACAATACATAAAAATAACTATTATAATAGTTCACTAACTGTCAATAATAATTCAATAAAAAATATACTTTCAAATAATATGATTTTATATGTAACTTTATAATTACCTAGCATGTCCCATATGTGCTGCATCATAAACTGTAGGGCCACAACTATACCATAATATATGATTTCCAAATTGAGGAATAAATATTTCTTTATTTCTAGTCAAACTGTTGAACAATTTGAGAATTACACTATTTTTTCCTTGCGGTGGAATCCAAAATGGTTGTATTCTCTTTGCCATTTCTAATCTCTAAAATCTGGAAAAACCCAAAAATAATAAATATCATGTAAATATTTCTGTATTACTGTAAAAATTAAAAATTGTATAATAAAACTTCCTTAACAAAAATTTTATTTAAAAATATTTTAATATAAAAAGCCTTTATACAATTATTTTCTAAAAAACAATTTACACAAATATACAAAGGAAGATTGTCAAACAAGTACCATGTGGCTAGAATTCTATTGCAAAATTTTTACTCATTTCCGTATACATCATTTTTTAAACATATTCATATATAAGATACTTGTTACCAAAAATAATATATTTCTTTCAATTTTATCAAATGAAAAAAAGTACTATTTAAGTAATTCATATGCGTAAATTGAATAAATTATGTTCAACATTCAGAAACAGCGTTGTCAAAGATTCTTTTTGTAACCTCAAACTTCCTCATTTAGTCTTTAATACTGTAATACGAAGTAAAACTTGATGTAAAGATATATGAAAAAAAATATAATTACATATATTAATAGATTCTCATAGAAACAATTTCTTTAGTTCTGTAAACATTGTATTGTATGAAATATAGGACCGTATAGAAACTTTATATACAAATCACATCTGGGTGAGGGACATGCTTCCGTAGCGGTTCCATCACCCAAATATGAGTGACGCCCTTTTTGTTTAAGTTCTAGGATCTTAAGTTGGGTTTTTAAAAGTAATTTAAAAGAATAAGCACTGGATTATAAATATAGGATATACAACATAAAAATATTAAAAATATACACATTATACTGTATTTTTTATTAATCCTTTGACTACTGTGGACGCCTATAGGTGCACAAAAGCTTCTTTAGCTGTTAAATTCTAAATATGTACAGTAATAATTTACTACAAAATAGAAAAAAATAAATAATGTCGTTTTGATATGTGGAATACATCGCAAATGAATTCCTACCATTATAGCCTACCTGGTACGACTGGTGCGTTTCAAAGTTTGCCGTAGTTAACGTAGTCAATTCGAAACTTGCATCATCCTAACCTAATTTGTTTTTTAAAATAAAACGTAGATTTAAAATTAGTTTACAATATTATTAACAAATAAATTTCTGAACACTTTTATGTCACTCATCGTAAATGGATATTATATTACAAAATACAATTTCTTGTTCTTTTTGTTCTTTTTACTTTAAATTAATGATTTGTCACATTACTTGTTATCTTTTAAGCGTATTAATATTCGTGTTAATAATATTATAACTTACAATGGCAAATTTATATAAGATACCCATTTTTATAAAAGTAATTTCTCTTACTATGCAAAGAATTTTAATTTAATTTAATTTATTATAAATTTTAACATTAATTTAATATATTAAATTAATTAATATATTTAAATAATCTAAAATAAAATTTTAATTACAGAAGTAAATGATATATTTTTTATTCACATTTTTATATAAAGTATGTATCATTATAATGAATATGCTCATAAACATTTTTGAATACCCTGGAAGCTTCACAAAAAGTACATTAAGTATACTATAAATTTGTTTTTAATATTATAATCTTTTAAATGTGATTACATGTATAAAAGATATAAAAGATATGTTTTACATACTTAAAAATTTACATCAATTGATTATATTAAGTTTAATATCATATATAAGTAACATATAAAAAAAAAACTGGAATGTATAATTCACATCCGTATTAGTCTTATATTACATATAAAAATATTCACAAAATGTTAATTACATTTTTTAATTAAATAATGTAAATCCTTGTTTTTGAATACAATTAATTATGTTCTTAAACATATGAATCTTTAATTATTTCTGTTGTATTTTATCCTTATATTATTTTAAGTACAATAGCTTTTGTATATAAAACGATTTTTTATTATTTACTACTTTTTCCAATCTGAATTGATAAATTACTTGTTTTAAAAAACTGTCTTATCAATTAGTAAATATAATTCTTCAAACATTTAATTTAACATAAAAATACATACTAACATTTTTGAATATTATACATATTTTTCTTTGATAGTAATTTTTTCTTCAATTTTTATAGTCTTATGTATAATTTAGATCTATAATTTGGATGTAATATGAATTTAATAATCAATAATGTATTATCTATGTTCTTTAGCTGCTTCCTCTTCCCATTCTTTACTTGGCCTAATAAATTCTAAGTCACTGGCATCATCAGAAGTTGACATGTTATCATCATCAAAATATGGTTTCGTAACTTCATTATTTTGCATATGTCCTAAAAAATATAAATTAATATAAATGATTTTATATAATTTTATATTAATAATTTCCAGCATGCACCCGTAATTTACCATTCTATCAAAACAGGAAAAATATGAAAATAATGTCCTTTAAAATTTTATAAATTTTTGAAAAACACTCATATGTAATATTCTTTTGATTATAGTAGTATTTACCATTTAATGGTCTTCTAAATATTTCAATTTCTTTTTCATCGTCATCAAAAAAACTTGTACCATCTTTAAGTAAACTGAATGAATATCCTTTCCAATTATTTTTTTGCACATTTTTGGAAGACTGACAGTTGGTACAAATAAAAATAGAACATGCAATAATTCCTAAACATATAGTACCTGTAAAAATATAATTTATAATTATAATAATACATTGATACATTCAGTTAATATGATTATAAAAGTATTGGACATCTTACTTATAAGAATAATAAAAACAATTCTAGGCATTCCCAAAAAGTTGTCATATTTCAATTTGAATATCAAATGTGAAATGTTGTGTACATCTGGTGTGATGAACACCTTAGTTTGCTGAATATATCCAGGTGCACTAGCACTTATAACATGACTACCAGGTTCAAATAAAAGTGAATAAGCTCCATTTATTCCACTTTTAACATAATGCCTTGATTTATTATATGATAAAATAGCGTTTTCAATTGGCTCATTATTTTCATTAAGAACATAGCCTCTCAATCCCTCATTAAGCTTTTCTATCATTGCTAACAGACTGACCTTATTATTTTCCCATATATTTTTTGCATCATCTGTGTTACAACAAGTAACATATACATCCAACATTAAAGTACTTGTACTTAGGTAAAGGTAATCCATTAAGGAATGTTCCCTTTTTCCACCTATACCCATTCCAGCATGAATAATACCGTTAGTATTTAGATTTAAATTGTGATTACATTGTGGATTTTTCAAAGTCATATGGATATTGTATTTTGTATATAATGATGCTAAATCTTGTAGTACATCATCATCATCGGTGTTATATATTTGTTCAAAACTTTGTCCATACCTTCCCGCAAACGGAATTTCAATATGTTGTCCACCAATATTCAAATTTATTGCTAACACAGCATTAATGTTTCTAAACCAATTAATTATCATATTTGCTTCACTACTTAGTTCATTATTAATGGAAAATTGTAAATTATCCATAATAAATGAACTACAAGTTTGGTTACCATTAAAATTTTGAGACAAATCCGGTGCAATGTATATTGTAAATTTATCTAAGTAATTTATAAGTTTATTATCTTTCGGATAATAGTTTAATAAATACGTTGCAAAGTGAAGTAAAATTTTAGATGTCACAGGTGTACCATTTGAAATACCAGCCACAAAGGCTATAGATGGTCGACCAATGCGTTTATAATTACTTTTAGTTCCAATTTCTAAACACATTATTCGAGTACCCGTTTGTGATTTGCCAATAGTATGTAAAGTTGATAATTGCGAATATTTATTGTATAAATCAATTAAAACTTGATTTACAGCATTAGTTTCTTGATCTTCATTAAATTTTTGGTGTTCAACTTTTTCTATGTGACGTTTTATCAATTTGATACTAAGATCAGTTATATTTTCTGAATTCACATGAACTTTTATAGATTCTTCAATATAACCTTCACAAAAGAAAGTTAATATATATTCACCAGGAAGAAGAATAATTTTGAAATAAGCCATATTTTTAGAAACATGATAACTATTGGCTTCAATCTTAACTACAGTTTCTCGCAAGGGTACATGATCAATATCTGTTATTAATGCTCGAATGCCAGTTGTGAGGCCATGAATAAGTTGCTTCAAAGGCAATAAATTTTCACGCCAAATAGTTGGAATAGATTCTGAATGAGGATGTTTACAACAAGCCATGTTGATACCTATCTAAAAATATAACAACCACATATAAGTAAAATAAATAATAGATACTATAAATGATTTTAAATAATAATGAATATGTATTACTTACTACTGATATGTTATATTGATTTTGAATATAATTTTGCACTTGCTTAATATTGCTATTAAAGAAATTGCAAGTTTCTTTCTGTATTGAATGTTCATAATTTTTGGCTAGAGTTTTATACACATTCAAGTTATCATTTGTATAACTAAAATAAAAATATAAGATATGATTATTATATTATAAATTAATATTATTTAAATTAATATAATATTATTAAATATTATATTAATAGATATTACTATTATAAACTAATATAATGCAATCAAATATAAATAAATATATTTTTCTAATACTTATGTAGCAATTTAAATTTTTATTACCAAACTTCAAGTGCTCCACTTCCTAATATTATAATTACATCATATTTTTCATTAGATAACATCATTTTAAATGCATTAGTAATTGTATTCACTTTATCTGAAGTGACATTATTCTGTAGTAATAATCTGTTCCCAGTTTCTTCATAAGCAGGGTTACAGTTTTGAACATTTAATAGATTATCAAAATTTGGATCGATGTTAGGTACAAAATGTAATACAGAATTATCCAATATTCTCTGTATAGGAGGATCTCCAATTTGATTTCCCATCAGAATATGAGTAGCTAATCGTAACAATATTTCTCTACCCACTGGTTGAGATGTAAATATTCCTCCAATTAAACCAATATGAAATTTATTTTCCTCTGGTGCACCCAACTATAGTTAATAGATTTTAGACGTTTTCCATAATCAGACAAAATAAAGTTTAAAATTTTAAGTGCTTGTGTATTTTTTCTAATAATATACTTACATTATGTGTAACTTTTAAAGAATGTATAGCCATACTAACTAATGACTGCCCATCTTGAAATTCTGCAACATTTGGGTGATGATTTTCTAATTGACTAAATCTAGTATTTAATTCGGAATTTTTTAAGTATACATTTTGTAAGTTTTCTTTTATTTGAAAATCATAAGCAGATGACCTGAAATTCAAAATTATACTTCTATTAAGTATATAATTTATTATGAAAAATTAAAATACAAGTATATATCAAATTAAGGAATAAGCAAAAAATTATGTATTTTTGTTAAATACAAAAAACTATCAATCAAAAAATCAATTTCTTTAAATATTTGAATTAAATATTATAAGGAAGAGCAATAAATAATTGAATAATAATATATTCTAGTTATCTATTTGTAACATATTAAAATATTTACTTTGGAGAAGTTTTTAAATTTCTTCATAAAATGAAATTTTTATAACTTCTTATCAAATACAATCCTTTTTAACACTGAATAACATATAAGTATCATTATTCTGGAAATTATAATACTTATAAAAATTGTATTAAATTCTTTTCTACTCTTATGAATATCATAAAATTATTTAATATATAATTATACCAATGTTCAGGATCATCTCGCATTAATATAAAATCCAGAGTTACTTCTTCTCCAATATTAACATCATTTGGTACTGTTACAGTTTGCATTTGTGACTCATAGCCTATTGCACTCACTGTAACATTATATTTGCCTGGAACTAAAAGACGCCAATAATCTCCATCTTTAGCTGCATAGATATCATGTTTAATTCCTTCTATAGATATTTTAGCATGAGGAATAGGATTTCCAATTGACGTACGTACTACACCGTGTATTCCCTTACGAGACTGCAAATTAAAATATTTAATTACAATGAAAGAAATAATGATTTTTGTAACACATTATGTACATTAATACCATTTCAATAAGACGTAAAAGAGGCTCTCTATTTTGTAACCAGTAATCTGGTAATTCAGTTACATTTGGAAATTTCGTGCATCCTACTTCTATTGTAATTTCAAAATCATTGCTATAAACATAATTATAATCTTGCATGCCTCCACTAACAGAATACCAGGCAGCTCCATTAGTTATACCGTTTGGAAAACTTTTTTCAAGTGCATTTTGTACTACATTTAATCGTCCATTAGAAAAAGAAGGGCATGGTTTTCCAAGATGCATAAAGGGATGAGCATTTGAATATGCTAATGCTAAAGCTTTAAAAACTTTATCATCTGGACTTAAATTTTCCATATTAGATGCATATTTTGGTTCATTATCATATGGATAATTTGCTACTAATGTTCCTCCATGAAAATTAGCAGAAAGTACAAATGGAATGTTTGAAATCCAATTCATTACTGCTTTCGTTTCAGGTTCTTGTTCTTTATTGTACTATAAAAGATATAGAAGTATAATTAGTAATAAACGAATGTACAAAATATACGAAATCTATTAAAAGCAAAATAATGAATAAAACTGAAAATTCATACTCTATTCGTTTCATATTGATCAGGAAAGTTTCTGTTAAGATCAAGACCTTTAGCATTTTCTCTTCCTTTGGCTCCATACACATCTCCTTCTATAGAAACTTCATAGCCATCAGGATTCATACTTGGCATTATATGCAATCTTACATTTTTTAATATTTTTGTAACTCTTTCATTACTTCCGAAATTTTCACAAAGATATTTTAACAATAATAATAAAATTTCTCTACCAACAACCTCATTTCCATGCATATTTCCTATATATTTTACTTCAGGTTTATTTTGACTATGTTTTCCTGGATTTTCTGATATTTCCATGACATATAATTGTCGCCCTTCAACAGACTGCCCTATACTATAAAGCTTTGTAATATTTGGATAATTTAAATTTAATTCTTTCAAGTATTTTTCCATTTCTATGTAGTTATGATGCTTGAATTCTGTATTATGGAAAAAACCATATTTGTCAATAGGTCTAATAACTTCATCCGATATTACTTTTCCTATAAATTAACACAACATTATGAAGAAACCAAAACTATTAGTAAAAGTTATTAATACTATAGAAATAAAAATTAAAAAATAACTAGATTTTTCAGCAAAAAATATATTCCTAAATGTATTTAATAATTTCTTTAATAATCTCTTTGTGTAAATTAAGGACTCAAAAAAAAATCATATAAAACATAAAATTAAAAATTTTAAAAGTATATAACTTTTACAACACAAGGTATAGAGAACATAAAAAACCAATAAAAGAAAAAACAGTAAACACTATTTTATAATAACATTAAAAATGTTGTATTATTTAATGGATTAAAAATTATAGGAAAAGGCTGGAAAACGTTTGAGAAAACTGACTCACTGTCTGAAGTAAAAATAATACTTTATTTTTTTTAATTTCAGATATTATACATTTAACTTGATTATATTATACTATACATCAAATTACAAATATAATTATAAACATTATTCACTGTTTCACATGTTTTTTGGTAATGTTAATAAAATTACATATAGAGATACCTATGTTTCATACTAGAAATGTTTAAATACATTTTTTATACCCCACATATTTATTTTATATATTTATTTCATTTTGGAAAAATAATTATTATATTACTTAAATTTAACTAAATAAAACTTTTATTTTTAACATAAAGTCTTTTTTTAAGATTCAAACTAGTTTTTATAATATGCAGCTTTAAATGAATACATTTAAAAACATATTTAATAAGTTAAAAATACACTGAAAATTATTAACAATATCTCTGGTCATTTTTAAAAATTCTATCTATTATATTATTTGTTCTTTAAAATGTTTATTAATAGAAAAGAGAGCATTTAAGTAAAATATAAATCACAATTTGTTATTTATGCAATAACATAAAAGTTATTCAATTAAAAAAATATAAATGTGTAAAAAGATATGTTTAGTGTGTAGTAATGTTTAACTATTATAATAATGCATGATCAAATTTTGCACTTATTTAAAATTATAAATTTACTGTACTAATATAGCATTTCTTTATAAAGTTCATATTTTTGCATTCCAAAATATTTTTTTCTATATTTAATACAGAATAAATGAAGTTAAAAAACAAATAATAATGATTTCAACAAATAAATCTATATATAAAAATATCGTAAAATAATTAAAAAATTGACATCTTTTGAACATGTTTATACTCTGATTACAATACTTCATAAATCAATTTTCATTTTTAACGTAAATAGTTATTTTTCTATAAACCAAAAATTTGGTATATTTCTCCATACCTTGTGTATATTTTTTTTAAACTTGTTTATACTGACAAGAACATAAAATATAATAAAACGTATGAAAACAGCAGTATCAAATAATCTTGTATTGTGATATCAGTGCTGTAAAATGAAAATAATATATATGATATAGAAATTAATAATTTATCTAAGAAGTGATAAATTTACATATAAATGTTAAAGATGATTTCATCATTTTCAATTTCGTAAAAAGATAAATAAAAAATTAAGGAAAACATTTAAATTAAATATAATTAGTAATCCACATCAGTATAAGATGGTTTTAATTTATAAAATGCAAAATACCGATTGAGGTGTGGAAGTATATGAAAGAAATTACCTTGATCGTCATAATTATCCTGCCTTAAAGTGAAATTAAAAGTAGTTGCTTCACCTGATTCTACAGTAATGTTTACTGGTTCACTTGCTTCATATCTAAAATTATAAAAAAAATTGCATATAAGACAAATGGTAATAAACAAAATAATAATTTTGTAATAACATAAAATGCATTATAAAATAAACTTTTTATTTAAATATACTTGCCCCCATGCTTCTGCATGAATATAATAAGTTCCAGGTAGTAACAAACGCCAATATTCTCCACGATGTGTAGTTGACACATTATGGTTTATACCATGCACCACAATGGTTGCTGCTTCTATTGGTTGACCATTTATGTCTCTTACAAGACCTAAAATTATAAACCATAAATTGATAGATTATCAATAAACAATGATACTTAATAAATATCTAAAAACCTTTTACTCCAATATGAGCTTGTTCAAGGTATTTTATAAGTGATTCCTTATTTATTCTCCAATATTCTGGCATTACTGAAGCATTTGGATATTTACAACAACTAAGTTCAAATGTTATCTCAAATGCATTAGAGTGAGCATAATTAAAATCTTGCATCCCTCCAATTACTTCATACCTATAACAAATAAATTTCAATAACACCTTTTTTACAAATAATACTTCTTAAAAGCAACAAATGCCTACCAATATGCTCCATTAGTAATACCATGTTGAAATATATCTGCCTCTTGGCAAGCATCACCTGTACGCATTTGTGAATGATTGTCTGCATATGTATATGCCAAATATTTGAATAACTCATCATCTGGGCTTTTACTTTCAATACAACAAGAATTTGAGATGCTAAAAATCAATTTACTATATAATTTTCATAAAATAATAATTTGAAATTTCATAATTTACGATTATATTTAAATTAAGAATTCAAAACATAGAAATATTACATCATATTACCCAGAATCATAAGGATAACTTGCTACAACAGCACCTCCATGAAGATTTCCTGATAATACAAATGGTTCTGTAGCAATCCAAGTCATCATAGCTATTGTTTCATTTTGACGTCCATCTAATATACTACCACCTTTTAAAAGATGATTAGTTTTTTTATTAAATTGATCTGGAAAATTTCTATTTAAGTCAACGTGATTTGCATTTTCACGGCCTGAAAAATCTTTTTTGGATGTACATTTTCCTTCCTAAAAGCACAAAAAACGTATCAATATATTTGTTTAAGTTTAAATTATAAAGGAAAAAAATAATGAAATGAAAATATTACTTCTGATTTTTCAAACCCATCAGGATTCATTGATGGCATAAGGTAAATATCTGTATTATTCATTAACTTTGTAACTCTTTCATTTTTTCCATAATTATACAAAAGATATTGGGCAAGATATATTAATAATTCTCTACCAACAGCTTCATCACCATGCATATTAGCAACATATTTTACCATTGGTTCACATAGTTTTCGCTCATTAACATTTTCAGAAATTTCAAGAACCAACAAATCTCTACCTTCCACAGATTTTCCTATGGAAATCACTTTTGCCAAATTTGGATATTTTTGACTCAATGAACTAAACAACTGTTGAAGTTCTGCATAATGTGTGTAATGTGGAATGATAAAATTTTCTTCTAAGTTCTCTTCAATATTTACTGCAAAACCGTAAATAATTCCAATAAATAAGAGAACAAAGGGCACGATATTGTACATGGTACTTATGTGTACCATATTTCGATATATATTTGCGTAAGAATGTAACAAATTTTTTAATTTTAATGAAACATTCTACACAAGACACTATATACAATGTCGATATAACATACTGATGACGTCCGCAAAAGTACGACCGTGGGCAGAGTAGGGTAAGAGATTACTATGAATAGTATATATACAGAAGTATATACAGGCATATATTTGTATTCACGTATGAATACACAGCTACAAGGCTTTTTCATCAAAAATTAAAAATTTTTATCAGTAAATTGTTTTATATATTTTATATAATTTAAATAAGTTAGACGTTATATATATAATTTTTAAATAATTTCAAATTTTTATAACAATTAAAAAAAACGTCATAAATATTTAAATCAAAAATAATAATGAATAAATGTTGCTTTTAAAGATATAATGTACATATAGTGTGTCATTTGACAGTCATGTAATATATATGTATGTTCTATATGTACAACGCTATTAGTAATGCTTTCAATAATAATAATATTTGTCCTTTCATTCTTTGAATATATAAAATTGAAATAATTTATAAATTGTTAATTTTTATAATAGTCTTGTTAATGATAATCTTTTCAGTTGTTAATAAACATACATAATTAAAATACAAATTTTCTCTAAGTAGTAAAAACATTTATGACTAATTGATATGAAATTATAATTTGGAGGTATTTAGGAATAATTATGGATTTTAAAAATAATACTGAATAAATGATTAATAGATTGAAGTCAAATGCATGTTGTTTTATTTGAATTTTTTTAAATTTCTTTATGAATGCGCAACATATATATTATTAAATGTATTTCACTCATATTTTAAACACGTGACTTTATATTCGAAAGCATTGTGAAAAAAGGTTATAATCTTACATCTGTGAAGATAGAAATCTGTGAATTTATTTTCAAACGGAAAATATTACTATTCAATGTAATTATATAGAAAAATTTATTAAATTTTATTAAGTAGCATTTTTAAAATGCCTAACAACAAAGAAGAAAAACAGTAAGTTATATATAAAAATACTAATAATAAAGTAAAATAGAAAAAGAAAAAATCGTTAACCACTATAAAAAATTTCAGATATGGTTTAATTTTACCTAAAAAACAACAATATATTACTCCAAAGGTTAACAATGTATTTGGTGATAATAATGACTCAGATGAGGAAGATGGTACAGATTGGGTTAAAAGAGCTCTGCAAGCAGAAGGAGAAAAAAATAAAATGAAAAAGCAAACAAAGCTAAATATGCAAAAAGCTTTAAAAGAAGACCCAACAATATTTCAATATGATGAAGTATATGATGATATAGAAAGAATAAAAGATCAGTCTAAAACTGCAAAAGATGAGAAAAAAAAGCCAAGATATATTCAAAATCTTTTAAAAGCTGCTGAGCGAAGAAAAAAAGAACAAGAATATAGGATAGAAAGAATGGTCCAAAAAGAACGTGAAGCAGAGGGAACAATGTATGCAGATAAAGAAAGTTTTGTTACTTCTGCTTATAGAGCAAAATTAGAAGAATTTAAACGAATGGAAGAAGAAGAAAACAAAATGGATAGATTAGAAGCTATTGCAGATGTCAAAAAACAACAAGATATGTCAGGATTTTATAGACATTTATATGTGCAGACTATTCAATCTCCAGAAAAACTTAATGTTAAGAATAATATAAGTAGTGATAAAACTAATTTAGATAATAATTTAGAAAATGTTAATAAAGAGGCAGAGAATAAAGAACAAATTAAAAGTAAAGAAGTAAAAAAAAATAGACAATATAGGCAAAGGATAATAGAAGAAGATAGTGATATTGAGATTGAAATTGAAGCAGATGTTTTAATTGAACAAACATTACAAAATAAAGCAAAAATTATTTTGCCTGAAAAACGTAAAGATATTGAAGAGGAACCTGGAAAAACAGAATCTGGTGCTAAGAAACAAAAGCAACAAACTGAAGATATTAAACCTGAAGAAATTAAATCTAATGAAGTTAAAATAGAGAAGACTCTAAATACAAAAAATGTTGAACAAATAGTAAAAAATTGTAAAAACGATGATGAAACTGAAAGAGAAAATATTAGTGCAAAAGCAAAAATAGAAGCAGAAAAAAAGGAACGTTCTAAAATTTGGGAAAAAAGAACAATTGGGCCTGTATTTGAAGCAGCATTGCAAAGATATTATGTTAGAAAATCTATGAGATTATCAACTGTATAATTTATCATAATTATAAATTTTGTACATGGGAGAGGGCATTCATGTGCGTGTAAGGTTCTAAATAACTTTGACATTATTTTGTTTAGAAAAACATATTCATAGGATAGAATATCAAAACTTTTTTGTTTAATATGGTACTTATAATATAAAAATTAAAAAATTATAAAATAATTAAAAGTTGTATAGAAAATCCATTAATGGTACATTATATTCTAGAAGAATATCCATTGTTCATAATATAATGTATGAATTTCTATACATAATGATGGCACATTATGATTATAATACATCTCTTTTATTTCTAAAATATTAATATGTAGTAATAAATTCATATACACTTTTATTAATTCTTAAATTATTTTAAGTATTACACATAACTTTTGATATTTAAAAAGTATTACTTTAAAATGCTTGTAAAATTTTTTATGATAAAATTATACATAAATTATTATATAATTTGTACAATTTAAATATTTCATTGTTAAGTAAAAGAATAAGTTACGTTATTTAGTTTTAATCAGATGAAATAAGTTGTGGCTTCATATGTCCGCTATCACTTAAACTTTTTAGTGTTACTGTTCCATTAGAACGAATGGATATCCATGTAATACTTCCATGATTTAAACTTAAACGTAACCAACCTTCAGGTGGAAATTGCAATGCTCTAAAAAAAGTAATAAATAAAAATTTATTAATACTTTGTATTAATATGAACGTGATTCTAATATAATAATATATTACCGGCATACAAAATATCTAATAATATTTGCATGGCAAACAAGTATAATATATGAATCCTTTTTCTGATTAGGTTCTGGGCGGTGAAAATATTTTCTAAATGCAGCTTCTATTCTAGGTCCATCTTTATAAACCTAAAATATTAATATAACATTATAATATAATATACAAAAACTAAAAATTGTTATAATAATATAATATACCTACAACTACTTCAGAATTTTGTACATTAATTGGTGGATCAGGAGCAATTGGGATACCTTCACTAAGAACCGAATCTTCTTTAACTGTTATATTTTTAAGATATTTTTCTATAATTTGAGCAGTTTCTTTGGCTCGAACTATTGTTGATTGTATAATCAAAGAATATGGTAATCCTAATTCTTGTAATCGTTTTCCTGTTGCCTCTGCTTGTTGTCTACCTTTATGACATTTTAAAATTTGATAATTATTAATGACTGTTAATAACTGACTTTTAATATATTCTGCAGTAATTTTATATATACAATATTTCATATATATATACAATGAAAAAATTTAATGTAATTATATATTAAAAATTATTCATAAAAAAATATGATATAATATAATTAACATATGGAAGATACCAACCAAGAGTTGTAAGTATTCGATCTGATTTTGTTATGCCTTTTGTATTATATTGGCCATGGCGAATTAAAATTATGTGATGTTTCACACTTGATTGCCTTCTAATTGAACTTTCCTCACGTGACTCTTTATTAGTTTCATTATCAAATTTTGTTACATTTGTTAACCATTCTGGATGTCGTCTATAAATGAATGCAACAAATTACAAATCAAATTTTCAAATAATAGAAACAACAGATTAAAAATAAAAATATGGAATATTTTGTACAAATACTGGAATCTTAAGTAAATAGCAAAAAAGATTTATAAATATTATAATGTTTATTGTATTTCAGAATTAAAATAAAAGTAACATGAATTCTTTATTTATCAAATGAACTTTCTACTTAAAAATAAGATTGTCTTATTTACTTAAAATGAAAAAAAATACAATTTAAGTTATATTTATTATATAAAATATATTTATTAAAGAAAATTTATGTTATTTAGTTAACTACAACATAAAAAGAAACAAAGAAAGAATATTAATCATTTATTGATTTATAAAATCAATGATAATTTCATAAATAATTATGATAGAAATAAAAATCTAACCTATCCCAATTATGGTCCCATTTGCCCCAGAAGGAAGGAGTTGTTGTCCAAGAATGCTGTTTTTGTGTCAGTTGAGTATAATCATTATCATTTGGATAATAAAGCACTGCACCACCGATTGCACCAAATCCAGCAATCCATTTCTTTAAATCTAAACGTATAGGCATTGTTATAACGAATACTGTAATCAAATATTTTTAACGATTTAAACCAATGCTGCTTATATGTAGAATGTTTCTGTATTCTCTAGCTATTCGTCTTCTTTTATAATAGTCACAAAAATTAACAAACACATTTTCATAAAAAGAAAGATTGAATATTGTTATAATATAATTAAATATACGACTAATAAGAAGTTCCTAACATTTTAAAATTTTATTTCAATAACAACTTATAATCATTATCTCTAGTATAGCAGTAAATTTAAAGTAACTCTCTTAGTATTTTCATAAATTTTTTTTATTACTATAATAAAGTGATTCGTTATTAAAGTAGAACAATATTAAGATAATATAATTTAACACAAATTTAAGAATTCAAATATAATTTAATAATTTTTGTTTTACAAAGTAATTCATTTGAATACATATGTGTGTATACATATATGCGCGCGCATACATAATATGTATAGTACACAATATATATGATTTTAAATTAGACGATATATCTTTAAAATATCTTTACAAATTAGGTTTAATAATATAATGTATTATAGATTAATAAATTACAATATTTATTCTGCTTTAGTTTTTTTTTAACAATGTATTTAAATGATACACAAACTAATAAGGAGAGTGCAAGTCCTTCGGGTCACCGATTTAGTTGAAACTTTGCAGGTTTGTAGACATCGTCTAGCGATTTAAGAAAATTTATCATTATAGGCGCAATTACTCAATAGTTTTTGAGATATTTACGATTAAAGTTTTATTACTTCATGAATTAAAGATTTATTTTTACTCGTTTTACAGTCGAATTGTGGTCGAATGGTGACATTCAAATATTCCTATGCTTGAGGTCCTGGTTCGATTTCTGGCCCATGTATGCCTATTTTATGTTCCTATTATTTTTTCGAGTATTTGGTCCAAAATCATAGATGGCGCTGATCGCTGGCGGTAAAATTTTTCATTTTAATAGACAATAAAAATTTAACATCTTAATAAATCAATTCGGCAGTAGAAAATTAATAAATTTTGAAGTTTCTGTAATTAATTCACGAACATTTATAGCTGCACAGCAAAGTTGGAATTATAGGCAACATTCTTATATAATATTTAATTTAATAATTAATACTTACATGAGCGATAGATTTTGTATTTCCTGTATCTAATGATTATTTATATTTTCGTTTTATTTATGTAGTAAATAAGATTGCTATAGAAAACTGTTTTTCATGCATAGTATTCTTATTATTCTGTAATAAATATATACTAGCATAAGAGAGCGTAAAAAATAAATTTCTTTATTAAGAAATTTTAGTTACAATTGTTTATTTACAATGTTTTCATAGGCGAAAAATGAATACAAAATAAAAAATAGATTGAAAAAAAAAAACTACCAACCATGGACGGGAATCGAATAATTCCACTTGAAAACTAGTGTAAATATATCTATAATTAACGAAGTAATAAAATTTTAATTATACCTATTTCAAAAACTATTGAGTAATTGCGGCTATAATGACATATATTCTTGAACTGCATGACGAAATCTACAAACTTGCAAAGTTTCAACTAAATCGGTGACTCGAAGGATTTGCACTCTCCTTGTAACATTTTAAATATTCGTATTTTTCATACGTGTTCATAATTTGTTATGAAAAATATTTTATACAAAAAGAATAGAATTAATAGGTTATTGAAATTGTAATATACACATTTGTGTCTTAATATAATATATAGTTTTTGTTTTAATTTTTTATTGCATTTTCATTTTAACCTTTAAATTTGATTATTTCTTAAATTATTTGTTATCCAATAAAAATATGTCATATAAAACCTATTCTATTCCAAAAGGAGTATTTTATGAGAGATATAGTTCTTACGTAGGTTGAGATATCTAATGATAATATTTTATGTAAATATCAGTCTTTAAATGTGGTTCATAATATTTAAAAAGTATTTATTTCTCACGTTTAAACCTTTATGAATAAAATAAAGTTGGTTAAAAATATATTCTTGTAAATGTTGCACATTAAAAATAATATGAAATTAAGAAATGGAAATGTCTTTTAATTAAATAAAAAAATATGTTGTTAAATTTAATTATGAAATAAGTTGTGGTTTCATGTGTCCAGTATCACCAAAAGCCCATAATTTTACAATACCACTAGGATAAATAATAATCCACGTAATACTAGCATGATTTAAACTTAAACGCAACCAACTTTCTGCTGGAAATTGCAATACTCTGAAATAAATAATAATATTTAAAAAAAAGCGTTCAAAACAAGTCAATAACATATATAATGTAATTTACCTGCATACAAAATATCTAATAACATTTGCATGACAAACAAGAATTGTATAAGAATCTGTTTTTTGATTGAAATCTGCACGATGAAAATATTTTCTGAATGCTGCTTCTATTCTAGGTCCATCTCTATAAAACTAAAATATATTAATGTGCACTATATGCACTATTAGTTTAAATAGATGTAGTGCAACTTTTTTAAAAATAGATGTATAATATTTTTAAATTCATTTGAATAATAATATATTTACATTTACTTCAGGTTTCCAATTAGGTGATGGTGGTTCAGGTTGTATTGGTGAACCTTCATTAAGAAGCGAATCACATTTTACAGCTACGTTTGGAAGTGTCTTTTCTATAATTTCAGCAGTTTCTTGTGCCCGTGTCATTGTTGAATGTATAAGTGAAGTATATGGCAAACCTAATTCTTGTAATCTTTTTCCTGTTGCATCAGCTTGTTGTCTACCTTTATAACATATTAAATGTTTTATACAATATTATATTTAAAACTAAAAAAACTAAATACTATTAAATTTTATTTCAAGCATAATAACTTTATATAAAGCTTACATTATGCAAAAATGATAGGTATAAACAATTTTTGATTAGTACTAGCAAATCAAATTTAATAATTATTAAAATGTAAGCAATATATAGGTATACATAAAATATAAAAAAGAATAATATAAAATGCAAGTAATATAAAACCGAGATTTGTGAGTGTCCTATCTGCATCTGTTTTAGCTTCTACATTATACTGTCCATGACGAATTAAAATTATGTGGTGCATAACTTTTGTTGTTTTGCTTATTAATTGTTTATCATACGTATTTTGATTTGATTCATTATTTATTTTCATTGGATTTATTAAACCTCTTGGATCTCGTCTATAAGTAAAATCATATATGAAGAGAATAATAAATAATTAATTAAAAATAGATATAGAAGAATGTAAAGAAAGAACATAATAAAAGTAAATAAAAAGATATTTTCCATTGTCATTACTTTTTAGATATTTTATTAGTTATATAAATAATAACTTAAATGTAAAAAATTAGTTTTATGTGGATATTCAACAACACATAGTAGACAACAACTATTTAACATATATATTTATTTAATGAAATATCAACGAAGCAATAGTTTTATGTAAAAATTTTATACAGAATAAAAAATTATGCGTTATTTATAAAGAGATAAACAAAAATGTTTCTAATTTTAATGAATCAATTATTTATTAACATAAAATTTAACACATGTTTATATTTATTTATCTATTTATTTATAGCACATAATAAAAAAAAAATAAAATAGAATTTTGATTACATATCACTAATATACTAAAATATTTCTACAAATAACAATAACAATTAGAAAAAATATAACCTATCCCAGTTATAATCCCAAGACGAAGAAAATGCTATTTTAGACTTGTGCATTTGTGATAATTCACTATTGTTATCATTATCATCATCATTTGAATAAAAGACCATTGCACTACCTAATGCACCAAATCCTACGACCCATTTTTTCAAATTAGAACGTATAAACATCACTGCACAAATTACTAGAATCAAATTTAAATGACTTAAATCAGTATTATTAAAATCAAGTATACACTGAATTATCTATGGCGGTACCATAGATGTAGTGTAAGATAGATGAAATATACAATAATATATATATGTTTATATAATCTTAGGCAATTCAGTAACGGAATCTTACATGTATTTATTTCTCTCTCCAATTACCTTTTTCGTGCCTTTTGTCTACGTTAACGTCATTAAAAAGACTCTCGAAATTAATGTTGTCAACAAATTTTAAATATTACACACTATCTAACATATTACATAATATAGGTTTTTAGTATTATACTATTTCCTTAATACGAATAGGAACAAAAAAACACTAAAACTTTACTTGAATAACATGTATTGATATGTAGAATATTTAAAAAAATACATATTTTAGTAACTACAATTACTTTGATAGTATAATTGTTCAAAAAATATTCATAGTTTATAAACAACATAATACTATTTAATATTAGACAATTTCATTTGGACTTTATATTAATAGTAAAAAATTCAGTCTTTATTTCAATTTGCTTATAACTTTTCAAAAACTATATCTAATTACAATTTTAACTACTTATTATTATTAAAAATTATCAAAAATATATTTATGTTAAATACATTACTTTAAATGAAATTTTATTGTTTTATTATCTTATCTTTAATTTTACACATATAATATTTTTATAATTTTTATTGATAGGAATCCATTAAGAGATTACCATCTTTATCTTTAAGACGTATTCTACCATTTGAATAACGTGTTTCTTGTGTACCATCAAGATAAATTAGTTTAATAGTACCATCAGGATATTCTCGTCTCTAAATCATATATAAATGTATAAATTATATAAATACATATCTTGAAGGAACTAAAAAATGTATTTATTTTTAACAAAATGTCATAGTTGTTTATTACCTTATGAGAATTAGTATGTATTTCACGTTGACCATTTGGTAGTGTAAGAATTCTTTCACCATTAGTAAGAATTTGAATTAATGTTCCATCTGGCAATGTCCATTTTTCAACACCATCTGATTCTAAAATTCGTAATGAGCCATCTGGAAATGATACTTCCACTGTACCATTGTGTGATCGTCTTTCTACTTGGCCACTATACAATAACCAAAATAACATTTACTGTGTAATAAATTTTTATATGCTAGAGTTTGTTATTAAATAATAAATTTATATAACAACTTACTCTGCAAATTCTAAGATTTCTAAACCATCTGGCATTGTTGTATGCCATGTTTGTGTTGAAGCATAAAAGTACTTTATTTTTCCATCTTTATTAGTTTCACGAATATCTCCATTATAATATATTAATTTAGTTATACCTTGATCAGGAAATATCTTCTTAATATTTCCATTTGGGAATTGATATTCAATAGAACCATCACTATGCTTGCTCTGAATTATACTCTGTTTGTCTATATTAGTTTTATTTTGACAAAATAAAGATGTATCTTCTATATATTTATTAGATGATTTATTTGGTGATATTAATATCAAATCTTTTTTACGCTTTCCATCACATGGTTCTATAGGAAATGTAGAACATATATAACTGTTTTGCATATATAATTGAATATTGTCATCAGTACTGTTATGATTAGAAGGTATATCACCTTCTTTATATGATTTTTCACAATTATCTTTTATAACATTTGTTTTACTGTCTAATATTTTTAATTTACTATTTAGAATTGATTTAGATTCACTTAAATTTTCAGAAGTATTAAATTGCTCTTGTATTTCTGTTAAATCCAATGTTGCTTCTTTTATTAAGTTTTCATATAAATTTCGTTTTTTTACGACATCTACCATAGTTTGACTTTTTTGTGATTTATCATTCATTATATTGTTATTATCATTATAATTATCTTCTTTTGCTTCTGCTATAGTGTGACTATTAACTGTGTCCATTGTTTCCAACATTGATTCTACCAATTTTTGATCATCATCTAATAAAGCATCATTCATTTTGTGAGACTTTTTAAACTGCATGTTAAGCTGTTTATTAATTTGATGAATTGCTCTTGTATTTGTAGAACTTCCACATTTTACTTTATTTCTAACATTATTTTTCTTTAAATTTTGTAGTCTTTCTATTTCTTGTTTTAATTTTGAATTTTCCATTTTTAATATTCTCATTTGACACTTATGTCTAGATTGAGCTGCATTCCATCTACTTTCCTTTATATGCATCTCTTCTGTTAATTTTACTATTTCTTGTTTTAAATTTTGAATTTCTTGTCTTTCTAGTTTACTTTGTTGAGCTTTTTCTTGTGAATCTCGCATTCTATTTTCTAATGCAGCTTTTTCACGTGCTAGTTTTTTTCTTTCTTCTTGTAAGCATTCTTCTACATGTTTTCTATTTTCTTCAAAACTTTTTTCTTTTTGTGCATACTCTTTACATATATTTTTATAATCTTCATGTAATTTCTTACGTTGTGTAGATAAAGCTGCATTTTCTTTACGAAATATACTAATTTCTTGCTCAAGTTCTAGTAAACGATTTTTTAAAAGTTCTGATTTAAAAATGGATCCGTTTGTTTCTTGTAATTCTTTTTTATTTTCTTGATCTTCAGTTACAATTACATCATTGTAATTATTTCCACATTCACTTTCTTTTCCATTTTCATATTTTTTTGTATATTTTTTAAATGTTTCAATATTACAAGAGTTATCACTTTTCCGTGATGTTGAATCATTTTCATTATATTTACATAAAGAACTCATTTCATTATTAGAAGTTTGATCCTCAATATTTGATAATTCTAATTCATCTTTATATTGATGTATATCTGTATTACAAGTAGATTTATTTTGTTTTATATTTTGACAGCTTTGTGTCTCATAATTTAATTTTTGCATTTTGTTTTTCATTATTACACAAGACTGTGGTATTTTAAATGGTATTGATGAATCTATTGTAGATATTTCTGGAGTTGAAAAATCACTCCAAGCCTTTTCATCTGAAAAATTTGTTGTTACTAATGATTCAGTTGATATACTTGATGTATCTGTTAATCCAATTGTTTTATATTCATTATATTCAGAGAATCTAACATGAAGACTAACATCTACTTCGTTATCATCTTCAATGGCAAGGGCATCACAAAAGTTTTGTTTATCACACGTAGATTGAATCTGATCTTTTAGTAACATGTACTTGTTTCCATTTGCATCTGTTGTATTGTTTTCTTTATCTTGTAAAAGCATTTCATTATCATGAATGATTTTTTGATTCATAAAACCTAGAAAATCACAGTGAGTACCAGTATCTTTACTGGACTTCATACATTTATTAGACTTTAAAACAGATTGTTCTTTAAGTATCTTATTTATTGGAGTAACCTGTTTTATACTACACATATTATTTTCTGTTCTATATCCAGCATTTTTTACTTTAAATGGTGTTGATTGTTGTAAGAAAGCAATAACTGCACTAGATGTGGAACAAAAGCTAGAATTCTCAGCTTTTTCTTCTAGTAATTCAAATATTCTTACTTCTTCCAATTCCTTTTGAGTTCCAGAATGAAAATCTGGAGTATTTAATTCAATTGTATTTTTCATTTCATTAACATAATCCTTCAAATAAATAGTAGAAGTATTAGAATCAGATTTACTACAAACCTTTTTCTTTGGCAATGGAATATTTTGTAAACATAAATGTTTTTGTTCTATACTTGTACAATGTGTACCTTTTGATAATTGTGCATTCTTCAAACATTTTGTAGTTTTATTGGACTTATTTTTATTTTTAGAACATTTAGAACCAAATCGTGTATTACTAGTGAATAAAGCAGTATGTGATCTTGCTTTTGACGTAGTAAGTTGTTTGTGTTGATTTAATTTAAATCGAGTTAAACCTTCTCCTTTTTTTAGAAATGGTTTCTTAACTTTATTCTCTGAACTAGCAATAGATTTTTCAGAAGGTTCATTTTCACTATTTTTCAATTTTTCTTCAAGTAATGTATGAAAATCTTTTTTAGGAGAAAGAATTGGAATATCATCAATACAAATATGATTAATAACTATTTTATCAGGTGGTAGTGGTGCTATTCCATCTGTAGTAAACTGTTTTATTTGTTTTTCTTCTTTTGGAGAAATTATTAAATTTATTTTATCTTTTACATTAGACATTATTTTATCTTTTGGATGTCTTTTTATATGATTTTCAATATTAATTGCATCTTCAATAAACTTTTTTCTAGGAGAATGTTGCTGAGAAATTATGTTTTCAAAACTATTATTTATATTTTGATTAACAGACAGTTCGTTATTATTTATTACTTGTATTTCTGATTCATCATGTAATGTAATTAAATTTTTATTATTATCAGTAATTTTAATAGCTTTATTCGAATTATTTATATTTAATGCATCTTCATTAAGATCAAGTTCTTGTATTGATAGCTCAAGTGCTTTATACATACTATCTTGTTTTTGAGTTAACATTTCTCTTTGTATCTGTTGCTGTTTTAATAATCGTTCCTGTTGTTCTAACTGCCACTGTCTCAGTTTTTGTAAACGTTCAACTACAGATGCTTCTAAATCCATTTTTTGAATAACATGGAATGTATAATAACTTTAATGTGTAAAAACTATTTATTTCATTTGAAAGTAATAAGTACTGCAATGACCTATGTACATATCTATATATACACATACATATATATATAAATGCACACATATAGAGAAATATAAATCATTCTATAATATTATAAAAATATGGCATAATTTATAGTTTTATAATTCTTTAATTTATTAAATATTTGAAATCGCAATTTAATGAAAAATATTTTGTTCCTTAAGTTAGAATTATAAAATTCTAAGTATTAAGTATTAAGTATTTTATTATTTAAAAATTAAAAAATATAACCCTGCCTCTCACACCCTTATATGTATATTTATATTATCAAATAATTAATTATCTAAAATTAAAATATTTATATTTCCATGTACCTTTAAGTAAAAAAGATTTATAAAAGTGAACGTAATATATCACAAATTAAATTCGTTAAATTCATTAATATATTTTTAGATAAACTCGCGAAGTATTTTTTTTTTTCACCATAAAATCAGATGACAACTCGAAAATAATGTATATGCATGTGTATAATATAATTTGAATTTGTAACGTAATAAAACAGTTACCTACATTGATTACAAATATTTGATTGGTTGTTTGAAAAAGTATACATATAACAATATAAAAATAACTAATGATTTTATATTTTACCAAAGATGCATAATTATCTGTCATTATTCAAAAGAATGAAATATATACATTTTTAAACTTTCTTAAACGTTATATATTTTAGTTCTTTTTAACTCAACAAATATTTCTAAAAGAGAAAAAGAGAGAAATAGAGAAAGAGTGAGAGAGAAAAAGCGCGCGCGCAATAGAGCAATAAAATTACTTTTAATGTTACAAATATTTTGAAAATTAGAAATATATATATATATTTTTTTTTTCATTTGTTTACTAAATAAGTAATACATCTATTAAATTAAATTAGGTTAAATAGAATACTTTTTTTAAGACGTCTATCATATTATAATATAAAGAATAATATAAAGAATAAAAGAATAATAAACATAATTATGTAAAAATAATTACAATTTGAATCTTTTGTATAATAAAAAAATTATTGTCATATTTAAAAGTTCATATGTAATAATTTTAATGTATCTAATTCCTTGATATCTTTTTATTATTAAAATTTGTATAAGTATGATGTTATATATTTTAAATATTACATAAATTTATTGCATTTATAAAATCATTACAAAGAAGTTTTATTTTTATTGTAAAATTATATTTTGATATGTAATACCTTTTAAGTTATAACATATATATCTTTAAATTAATTTTTGTATTGTGCTAAATTAACGTAATTTAATTAATGTCAAATTTTATAATAGTACAATCTTATTAAAAATTGTAATTATAAAAATAGCAAATCAATCTTCAAAAATTTCCACTAATATTTTTTAAATAATCTCAAAATATATAAGATATATTTTGTACACACTACACATACGTAATATAATTGAAATATAACAAATATAATTTATGTTACCAAATAAATGCAAGAATTAAGACAGTTTAATATAAAAATGTTTAAATATAATAAAATTAATCATAATAAAGCAAAATAGGTACAAGAAATTGAATATTAATATGATTAAGTTTCGTACGCTACTCTGTAATAAACATATTGGAGAATGTTTAAAACTTAATGTTTCAAAGACTTTCTTAAAACAAATTGCTGCGAAAATGATACTAATTTATAAAATTTTTAATTAGTATGTTCATAGCAACATAGACAACTGCAATATCTTATTAACAAGTAATACAACATTTTCGTTTTAGATTTTTATTAGAATAATAATACAAATGTACAGGACGTTCCATACTATGTAAAAATTATTGCAGTAATGGATTGAAAACATAAAAATGCAAAAAATATTCATATAAACATATGTATGGTATAAACTTGTTTTTAAGTTATAAATTAGTTTAAGTTGCAACTTTTTTATGAATGGGTGTAGCATAGTTAGATATCTATTACACCAGACACTTTTTTACATAGTACTCTTTTTATAAGATTCACCTTTACACAGTTTTTCTTTAAACACTTTCTACTCATTTTTACATGATTTTTTAATATGTTTGTTTAACAAGTTGTTTTTTCTATTGTTTTCTTTAGTGTAACAGTTTTATACTTTGTTACAAATCAGTTATTTTATAATTTTTTACGTCATAAAGTTTTAAATCGTAACGGTTTTCTTTTACATGGATTTTTTTTACACTATACGTATCTTCCATGTAAAAACAATCCTAGGTGTATTTATTTGGAAGATTTAAAGATGATGAAATTGAACTAATTTCTAAATACTATTGAGTATTACTAATATCATAAATACTATATTTTACACGTAGATTGTATTCAATTAAAAAAAATATAATTAATGTGGATTAGCAATAATTGTAATTCTTATGAAATTATTCGAGCAATTAAATGACAAATAAATATCTTATGTATGAACTTGTAAACTGTAATGCAGTCAAAGCTGAACTTCTGTGCCTATAAATCTTTATAATACTCGTCATTATACAAATAATACATTATCCTCTGAGTAATTTTCGTGATAGTAAATGAGCAACTCCTATAATTTATAGAGGACCATAACTTGAAAACGAGGTCATATTCATAATATTCGTAATCATTTTTTTCACCATTTTTGAATCCTCAATTTGATATTGCAATACATCACGTAGTATGGAACAACCTGTATATACATATACACACATACATACATACTCATAGACATGTATATATATGTATATAAAGTCGTAATATTTTATAAAAAATATACTTGTGTATTTACTGAAATATTTTATTGTAAAATTAATGTAATTAGTCTTTAATAATTCAATTAAAAGTATAAATGAATGATAAACATTTCATCAACTACTTTTATGATAAATTTTTATGGTAAATGTTAAAATATTTCATAACTAAATTTGTGAGTAAAAATACTCATTTTTCATTTAAAAATTCATGCAATAAATTTGCGATATTAAGCATGATGTAAAATTCACTTCATTGAACATAAAATCTGAAAAGATCTATACTATAATTGTAAATGTCTATTCAATTTCTTTGTTAGTATCCATAAACATTTATAACGTATTTTATCAATTAATTAAACACGAAAAGCAATATTAAATATAACTAAGAAATGTCCATTATTTTGAAATATAATTCTGCTATGTGTTTTAAAAATAATGTACTTGTTTACGAAAAGTGAAAATTAGTCTGTAACTATACGTCGATATTTTCTATTAGGAGGGAACACTTCTTCATCTTCATCTTTGTCAGCCGAAAGGAAAGGATCATCATAGGCATAATTTGGTGCCCATTTTAATAACAATTTTTCAAAAAATTCTTCTAAATTTCGTGCTTCTTGATACACTTGTGATTCAACCTAAATAAAATAAAAATATATATATATGTGTATTTGTACAAAAATGTTATATTTTATTGTACATGCTTATAAATATAAATTCTTTAATAAAACTTACAGGATTGTATGTAAAAGCATTTTTAAACATCAGCCTGATGTCTGCCATTACTTGTCTTAAATCTGTATAATGATTTGGATGCTCAGGTTTTAATTTATCTCTAATTACATCTAGTGCAATTGGTTTCTTTATGATACGATGATAGTCAACTATCTGATAATAACAAATAAAATGATTACTTTCGTTTTCAATGTTTTTTAGATAAATAAATTTTTATACAACAAATTTACCTCACTAGATACTACTTCACGGAAAGGTAAGCTTTGCTCATATTGACAATAAAGTTCTAATACAATTCTTTGTGCAATCCGTAATTCTTTTGCACTCATTATGTTTGGTCTTTTTTCTCCTGGTGGGTCATCTGAGCAATCTAATACATTTGTACATAACATACATTGCCAAGTTTCACTTTCACTAGTACATAAAGAATTTATTAGTAATAATAAAAAGATGAATATTATTACCCTATACTATCTGTACACTCACTCAGGAAACGATTTTAAACTAGGAATGTGACAGTACAAGTGGAAGACTTTTGGGCATTTATCACAACATAGTACTGCATCTCCTCCATCCATGCATACTGCACACCAGTCTTCATTAGGATCATCCTTTGCCATGGATGTTGCAGTATTTTTTGAATTATCTATTGAACATATAATTGTATACATACATTTAGTCAGTTGTGTAAATACATTAACAAATATTTTTAATAAGAATCACATATTTGTGTTCTTTCTATTATTATTTCTTCTTAGGATGTCATTATTTTAAAATATTAAATTACCTGCTGAATTTTCAGTCATTGGATTCATTCCTTCATCAGTTGAACTATCAACCTGGGCAGAATCTAATTGGTTTCGTTGAGCTTCTGGTATTACTACGATTCCATTACTATCTAATTTTGCGATAGTAAGCATTAGGTCATTTAAAGATTTTTGACAAAATTTGTCTAAACTCTTTTCAGTTTCATCTGATTTTCCAGGAGGCACAGGACTAGGAGTTTTAGGTACTGATGAACTGACCGTATGACCAACAGATACTAAATTTTGTGATTGAGGTGGATTATCAGAAGCAGTAGTTGTTTGTGTATTATATTTTTGATTTGTATTTGATTGCTGATTTTTTAATGTTATCTTGTATGTATCATTAGTAGGAACTGACATGGAAGGTGTATTTGATTGATGACGAGAAGTATAAAAAGGAAGACAAGGATTGACATTTTGGGGTATATGCCAACGTGCTGTAGTTGGTTGTTGCATAGGATAATTCATATGTTGTGTAGATGGAGAAATAGGATTACATTGCTGAAGCCTTATATTAGATACCATAGATGTATTTGTTGGTTGATACGCAGGTGGTGGTACTGGTCGTTGGGAATTGTTTGAAGGATATCTATAAGGTGGCAATCGATATGATACATGATTTGTAGAAGGTCGAAAAGGTGGAGGATTATGTGCAAGAAGTCCACGTAGACTTGTGTTTTGTCCCAGTTGATCTATGTGAACTTGTTGATGAGGATGAGTAGACGATGTTACTTGTTGATGACAGCTTCCCAAAGGACGTTGTTGCATCATTATTGATTGCTGTAGTCTGTTGTTAAAATTAACTGTATATGGTACACGTGGTTGATGTGTTTGTGGTGATGACCGAGGTGGCATATTATTCATAGGATAATGTATATAATTTTGTGATTGTGTTTGTTGTTGCTGTTGAGATGCTATATGAAGAGGCACTTGTTGATAGGAATTTTGTTGCATACTATTAGACTGTTGTGTTACAGCAGGTAATTGTGCAGCTATAGTAGAACCATCCATATGTGCATTTGACAGATTTGTTGTTTGCTTTTGATCCGTCTGTGATTCATTATATGATATAGATGGTGGATTTATTCCACCTAATGGAGATATTGAAGGATATACTCTACCATCCACTACTATTGCACCAATTGATGATACCACTAAAATTAAAAAAAGTAAATATTTAAATTTGTACACATAAAATATTGATTAGGATACTGTAATTAAAAATAAACTAAATAAGATTAGCTTGTAGCAATATCATAAACTACCTATTTAATAACATATAATTAAGCACCTATTATTATTAATTTAACCTTTTATCAAATCTGGTACTTTCTCCAAGGATAAGTGAATTCTAACTGGTATTTCTGGATTTGGAATGTCAGCACGTCTACTTTTTATTCTTTGTAAATGACTTGTAACAGATCTGCAAAAAATTATGAAACATTTATATTTATACCCTCTAGTATTCACAAACAGTATCAATACATACTTTTTACTATAAAGTAATTCCATATCTGAACCCTTTTTTAAGGCATGTGATACAAATTGTATACAATGATCAGTAAGTTTTGATAATTGATCTAAAGCAACTTTTTTTTCATTTAATGTATTTTGTTTTTGGTCACAAACTTCATTTAAACGCATAACTAATTGTTTTCCTCGTGTATTAATTGCATTTGTTAATCTGTGTAAAAAAAATATGACAAAATAATTAATTTTATTTCATTAAAGCTTTCAATATAAAATTCATAACTTACTGCACCACCATTTGTGTTATGTCTTGCACCAAATTTTTCTTTTTTTCTAAGATAAGGACTTGTCTATCTTCTATAACCTTCATTGCACTTTTCAATAAAACTCGTTTATAACTATAATAGAAATAAATTAAAAATATATATTAATATAAATAATTTGAAAAAGAAATAATCTTAACGCTCATAAAACATTTAAAAAAAAGTATAAGTATAAAAGAATTACCTCACTTCTTTAAGTAAAGTTGATACAGAAGTACGGGTTTCAGCAGCAATTTCATGAATAAATTTGTACTTATGATCTCTGTGTTCACTTAGCTGACAATCCCTACAAGTAAGTTTATCACATGTTTGACAAAATAAAGATAACTGTTCATGTGAATGAATCGTACAAAATAAATAGCCAGGTATTTTTTTGTTGCATTTTTTGACATTATCCCTATCATTGGTGACTTCATCCTTTGGTTTAATTGTGTGATCTTTTGTTATTTTTAATCTCTGATGTGCCTTTAACAAAAAATTAAAAAATTAAAGAAATTATTATTTTACTACTGAAGAAATGATGTAATATGTTATTATGTGGCATTTTTATTACCATAACACAGTTTTGACATATAAATTCTTCACATTCCACACACCAACTTGTGGCAGTAGCATTATCATGACAACTGGTACATTTTTTTTCTTCCTCTGTTTCTTTAGATTCATCATCAGTACCTGGGCTATTATCTTCCTCTATAAATTTTGACAAAAATCTATTTTCAATTAAGTTTTCTGCTTGTGTGGTGACATTACATATTTGACAAGCAATCACATTACTTTCCACTGCAAGAATATATATTTTTAGTTAATATTCAAAGCTTAATTTATATAATATAATACACACATATTTTATAAATTATAATATTACTAAAATGTATTAATATCAATTAGTATTTTATATTATTAATATACTTTCAAAAACTCATTCATTAAAATTATAATTTCTACAAAGAATAATTTCAATATTCTATTGAGTGTTTGATTAAAAAATTATTATCCCTACTTACATTTCAAACTTACTACAATGGAATATAACGAAATGTGCTTTCAATTAAAAATTTAATAAAATAAGTATGAAAATATGTATTGTTACTGTTGCTGTTCAAAATAGATGAAATGTTCGAATATTTAAAAGCATTATTATATGAATATTAAAAATCTATTTAAAAATAATGTGTTATAACTCCCAGAATTTAAAAAACTAGAAAATATAAATGTATGATATAGTCTTACACAAAACATCCACGTCGACTGATGTGTTGTGATCGCTGAGTTTACTATTGACACATGTCGAACATGCAGCATGTAAACATTCTAAAAGTCTTGGGTCATCACCAAAAGTAAATGTTTTTCCACAAAACACACATTTTGATAAAAATGCACGTGTCTCATTTTCTTGGCCCTCAGTTGTACATTCGATACGCTGTTCACACTCTTCCTCAATGCAAACGCCCTGTACTTGCGATTGTTGCATTTCCTGCTTCGCGCCAGTTTGATCAAGTGGTTCTTCTTTAATCGTCGCTATTGGACCTGTTGTTAATAACTCATTCGTTCGAGTTTCCATGTTAAAATTATCAAGGTATGAACGGCTACACACAAGAATCGGTTTTATATTTTATGAAAATATATCTTTCTTAAACCATGTAGCGCCATGGTCCACCATGCTATATACTCCACTCTAATTGCAATTACTATAGTTAGGTAAGAAACTCGATGGCGGGCTTTTACGTATAGTGGCGTCCTCTAAGATAAGAATTTTGATTCTAGACATTTTAGTCATTTTCATGATAATTAAATCAAATTTCTTTTTAATGTTATTAAAATAAGTTAATAGAAATTTTGTAATTTAATAAACTGTATTATACGCAATCTTTTTCTCAAATCCTTCTTATCTAATAATAGTAACTCTTTTATTTAGAAGATAAAATAATACCTTTTAAGTAGTCCATTTTATAGGGAATTTTAATTTTTATCATTTTCATATGGTAAATACATATATTTATTATGTGAAAGTTTAATACATAATACTGTGTAAAGTGTAATAAAAAGGGTTAGAAATCCTGATTCACTTTGTACTTTTGAAATATGCATTTAGATAAAACACATTCAGGTAGATTTTATTAAATAGAAAAGCTTTAACTTTATCATCTTAAATCAGTATAAAATAAATATTTACTTTACATAATTTTTTCACGTTATTTATACGATGTTAATATTATAACAATGAACATTAATGTTTTTTAACAATTTATTTATTTTTTTACTAAAGACTAGTATTTTTTAAATTTACTTGTTAAAATGATTAAAAATTGAAAAGATAAGTCGGATGTTTTTGATGCTATAAATTGAAATTTACTTGATATTTGTTTTTAATTTTAATTATATATATGTAATGTTTAGGTATATTTTCCTTTAACAATGGAGAAAATAATAACCTTAATAACGATGAAAGTGATGATAGTATACAAATGTCATTAAATGATAGCAGTTTAGACTATAGTGATGATACAGAAAGTGAAAATGAAGAATATTTTGATTCAAATAATGATTCAGTTTCTACTCGTACAAGTAAGTTTTATACAATTTGGTGTTTAAATGTTCTAAATTTAATTAACTTAACTAGTAGTTAATGTTGTAATGTCTATTTTCAATTACTTGTTACATTATGAATATGTAATGTGTATATTTGTTATTAAAGGTAGCAATACTGTACCAATTTTAAATGAAGATGAAGAAAAAGATGAAGTTATAAAAGCAATAATTAGATCAGGAAATATAAATACAAATCATCCTCCATCTATTACAATGGAAGATCATGTAGTAGATATATGTTTTCATCCTAATGCAGAAATGATCGCTGTAGCTAATATTGTAGGAGATGTATACTTGTAAATTTTGAACTTAATAATATTACATAATTAATATATTAAAAATAATTTTTAATATTTTAATCTTTATATAAATTTTTTTACATGGTAGATATAAGTATAACAATACAGAAACAAAACTGATATCAACTTTGGAATTACATCTTAAAGCATGTCGTGATATAGAATTTAATGAAACTGGTTCAGTTTTATTTTCTACTGCAAAAGATTTATCTATAATGCTCACTGATCTTGAAACTGAAAAATTAGTAAGAATTTATGAAAATGCACATGAGTAAGTGTATAACCATAATAGATAAGCATAGGTATTATTAATTGATGTTTTATTTATTTTAGGGAGCCAATATATACAATGACAGTAATTGGAGAACATATGTTTGCAACTGGAGATGATGATGGCGTAGTTAAAGGTATGTTATATTTGTATAGTTTATTTTTTAGTATACACATATTTAATTCAGTGTACATATATTTTAAGTGTGGGATCTTCGACAAAGAGGGAATATACCTGTATTTTCATTAAAAAAAATGGAAGATTATATAAGTGCTATCATAACAAATAGAGAAGCAAAATATTTAATCTGTGCAAGTGGGGATGGATCTCTTACTACATTTAATATACCAGGAAAGAAACTACATGTTCAAGTAAGTACAAATAAATTGATACCTAATTGTGTGTAACTATATATAACCGGTTTATTAGTCAGAAGAGTATGAAGAGGAATTGACATGTCTTGGCTTATTTAAATCTGAAACAAAAATCTTGGTTGCTACAAGTAAAGGAAAAATGTATGTATATAACTGGGGAGAATTTGGTTTTCACTCTGACGAGTTTCCAAATTTAACTAAGAAATCTATAAACTGTATGATTCCAATTACTGAAAATGTTGTGATAACAGGAGGAGAAGATGGAGTACTCAGGTAAAATATAATTTAAGGTTTAATATATATTTTGTTTCCACATATTAAATAAAATGGTATGTATATTTATTATATTAATAAATAGAGCAAGCAGCTTATTTCCACATCATCATCTTGGTATAGTAGGACAACATAATCTTTCTATTGAAGCAGTTGATGTTAATAGTGATGGAACTTTAATTGCATCTTCTGCACATGATAATGATATCAAGTTTTGGAATGTACAATACTTTGAAACTTTAGATATCAGTGTAAATGTGAAAGGTGGAAAACAGAAGCAGTTAAAATGTAATCTACCAAGTAGTAAAGTTGATAATGTATCTTCTTTTTTCTCTGATCTTTAGTAAAAGAAATAAAAATAATAATAAACTATTATAAATGTGTTATAAATTTATAGACAACTAAATTGTATTACACAGATAATGCTGAGATAATATATTTCCATAAATATGCACCTAATTGACAGATAACATATACATATTGATTATTATATGTATAGTAAAAAATTGAACACAGTATTATATCTTTCAAAGACAAGAATAATAAAATATATATTATTTTAGTGAGTTACATATGAAGTTTTTAAACTATAATTATTCTTTGTTTTGTAGTCTATATTTTCCAAATTTTAAATTTTCATAAAAATTAAGTAGAAAGAAAAATATACTTCATATGTATGTTTACATCAAATATTATACATTACTTTTTAATACTTTTAATGTTGCAAAATAAAAATTATGTAAGAGAGTAAATTTTATACTTAGCAATCATTTATACTTATTTTTATATATCCATTAAAGCGTAAAAATATTTGTATAAATTAATTATATAATAAATAATAAATTGTTACTATTTATTAATTAGGTACTGTAATAGCAGTAACCAAAAATTATTTTTCAATTTCATCTTTCAATTTTGTACCTTATTTAATATAATTAATAACAAGTTAAATGAGCATTATCTTTTTAGAATTGATTTTTTATGCAAAAATAAAACCAAAATTTTTGTCATTTATCCATTTCGTGTTTCTATTTGATTGTATACTCAACAGTTGAATTTTTTACACATTTACTGTATAATTATTATAAAAACAAACATTAAAAATGACAAAAAACGTACGATTGAATATTAAGGTACAAATTTTAGAACTATAATTAGGTAGATATTGCATTGCATAATTTAAAAATTACAATAAAATTTTTTTATCATACAATTGTTTTATATTTTTAAGACAATAGAAAATTCTACTAAATATAAATTATGTTTGTTTGTACATACAAAATGTATCTACAAAAAGACTTTCAAAATAATGAAAAAAATTCATGAAATTTTCATCAATGATTATAAATATTTTACATACTTTTCATAATTTACATTTAATTAAAAAAAAAATATCAATTTAATATAAATATATAAAATGTACTGTAATTCAAGAGTGCATAATATATATTTGCTGTCATGTTATGATAAATAATACTGATAGTGAATAATTCTTGGTTCAAAGGTTTGGAGTTAGACGTAAATAAAATATTTTTATGCAATTTGCAAGTACTGGCTTTTTCATACACGTTTTTGAAATGATTGTTAATAAAGATTCTATTTTACATAAAAAATAATATACGATATGAATATTCTTACCAATTATCTTTAAACATATTAAATATTAACAATATACTATATAAACAAGAATATCTATTATTAGAAATCATGTTAGAATTTATATCTTTTCTTAAGGAAAGAAAAATGTTTCAGATGATTATGATTATTTAATTTATTAAAAATGATTTCAATTGGCTTATTTTAATACTAAATGCAATAATAAAAACATAACATGCATTCTTTTAATAAGTGTTTGAAATTTATTTTTAAAAATATTTTAAATAAATGCTTTAAATTCTTATTGTAAATTATTTAAAAAATGAGACTCAGCCTTTATTACAATTACAAATATTCTTGCTTATAATACCTATGTCATGTATATTATTTCACTGATGATTCATTTGACGTAAATATTCTGGTGTATGATAATGTTGTTGTTGTGCATGAGCAAGTGATGGATGAATTGGAGGTGGAAAACATCGAACATGTTCAACACTTGTTGCATCACTATCTCCACTCTTCAAATATTTGTTTAATACAGCAAAAATTTGTGAATTTAGCACTTGAAATCTTCTAATCCTATCTACCATTCTCTTTAAATGCTATTTGATAGAAATAAAAATGATTCAATATTTATTTTGCATATAATTAAAAAAAAATTATATTTTGTATAATACTATATATGTACATAAATACTTACAATTCCTTTGACATTTTCATCTTTACCATCAACACGTTGTACTCTTAAAATGTGGTAACAAAAATCAAGAGCTTCAAATCTCCTTTGTTGACCTAGTAATACTATCATTGCACAACCAGCCCAATGTAAACCTTCACCAAATAATTCTCTGTAATGAAAATAGTATTAAATGAAGCTTTCATTTACTGTATTATTACTAATGGTAAAATTATATATACATTACTTACTCAACGGTAAATTCTGTTTCTCCAACAGGAATACAGTATACAAATTGTAATGCACTCCATAATCTATGAAATTCAGTGCATTCATCAACATTCATTACTCCATTTACAGGAGGTGGACCAACCCAAATAGGATCATCTAAGAAACTACGTAGTCTGCTAAGGACTACTTCAAATATTGATAAACCACAACAAAGTCGTTCTCGCGTTAATAAATCTCCTTCTCTAGCAATCAATGCTTGCTAAACAATTTATTAATAAATAAATAATCTTTAATTAAAATGATTTTAATTCAATTATCGAAATAAATTTGAAAATACTAGAATATGTTCTATTTATATGATATAACTAAACATCTAACATATTTTTATAAATAATTTGTTAACAAATATTTTTTATTACTCACTTTAGCTGTACCTAAATTATCTACATTGGGAACAATTTGTAAAGCTGCATATTTAGCTTCAAGTCGTTTTTGTTTAGTCTCTGGTTTCTCACCCTCTAAAATTAAAATTATTATAATATTTTTAGAAGTAAAATTTGTGTATAATTTCAAAATATTACCTTTGCAATATGGTCTAGGTAATATATTTTGAAATGGTGCTGCATGTAATAAATCGCAGACCTCTTCTTGTGATAAAGCTTGTTCCATTAAAAGGCAAAATAAAATTGTGTTACCAAATTCGCGAAAATTATGAAAAAGTTCAGTTTTAGCATCTGGATATTGCACAATATCATTTAATTGAGCATGATAGTATCCTAAAACTCCTGGAGATCCATAGTCATATCTTGGAAGTTTACAAACTTTTGGCATAGCCTCCATTAATGTCTTCGTAAATTGATGTAAGCTTCCTTGAATTAGGGACTTTACAATTTTTAAGAGTTCTTCCATTACTACTGCGATACCTTGATATCCAAGAAGTTTACACATTGTACGAAAATGTTGTGGTCCAACAAATCCTGAATATTGTCCATATTGTGTACTATAAGCTAAATTTAATTGTTTACTTCCCCAAAGATAATGATGAGACATTTGTGGAGGTTTATCTCTATGTACTGCTTGTACAAATTGAAGTCCACGACATTTTACGAACCTAAAATAAATATGTTCCATTTTTAATATAAGTAAATATTAATTTCATGTGTATCTATATAGTTGTGTCTTATTTCAGTTTTTAATTTAAGTTAAGAGAAATACAAAAAGTATAAAATTATAATACAATTATACCTATTTGTTGCTGCATTATAACAATAATTTGGTAAAAAGTCATAATTTAATTCCCAAAATACATGTAGTGTTATTCTTCCATATGGTGCTAAAACATTATGATTTGCTTCACGAAACATGGCATCATATTCATCTAATGCAAGCCATTTACTTAAAAGTTTATGAGTAAGGCGATTTACTTGTAAAAGTCCTTCCAATTCCTTTGATGTATAAAACACGAAGTTATTAAAATATATACTAAATGGAAATTAAATATAATCATATTATTAAATCTAGTAATTTAACATACCACAACTCCGGTAATGTCGCCAGATTCAAATTTACTAATTGCTAAATCTAATGATTTTTGCATATCTGCATTAATACGTTGTGTAATCAATTTATTCAAATCAATACTTCTTCCAAGTAATTGAACGTGTCTTTGTTTTAATAAGGTTTCGTATCTATTAGCTCGAGGATATGGAAGTAAATATGCTCCTAATGCAACACATTCTACTCGAAATCTTTTATCTAGTAATATACTTGCTGCCAATTGTTTATAATGAGCAAAAATTTGTTCACTGAGCTTGTAAACAAATTGATCAAAGCATAAGTTTACTTCAGCTTCTACTTCATCATAAAGAAACTGTTTACGAAATATTGTTAAAGCATATAATGCACTATCATTGTATAAATCAAGTGGATATAAAACGTACCTACGAATAAAATATTGTTACAAAATATTTGCCAAATTATGAATACATGTTTTTTTTTACTTACTCCATCATTGATGGTTCCTTGCTTCGTAATATATGATCAGTTAAGATCCATGGCATTGACATCTCAATAGGAAACTGAAACATATATTAATAAGTTTTTAAGTTCATAAAATGATTTTAACACTACTATAACATAATACAGTGTATTATTAATTATAGAATTTAATATGTTTATAATATAATTATAATAAATGTACAGTAATAATATTATCTTTAAGTAAACATAAATTAATTTCATTATTCAATACATACTAAGGTAATTGACTTATAACTTCCTAATTTAATATTATTTAGTAAATTAATAAACACAAAAATTTATAAATTAATTTACAAAATAATTTATGTAAAAGAATCTATACTTTAAATATGAAATGTTTCGATATAAATATTACAAAAAATAAATTTCAGTATAAATAATCATTTTTACAATTTAAAATTTGTTTTATATATTAAAACTATAAAAGCAGATGAATAAGGATACTCCATATGTATTAATATAGAAAATAATACAGTAATAACAAAATTAATACTATATTAATGGTTTGCAACAAATTATAAACATAAATAATTGTCATAGTTGCACATATCAGCAAAATACCTGGATACGCTTCTCCATGGTAATTAAGTCGCTGCATTCTTCATTATGCTGGTGACGAACTTGGCATTTCTAGTTTAAAAAATGGAGAAACAACACCAACTATCATTTTTTAATAAACTATACATATGTTTGGAATTTAGAGCAAAAGAATGTTGAAAAGATTACTTGTATTTTCCGACCCATGGTCATTTCTAGATAAAATTCTCTGTACCATAATTGGGATAAGTCACAACAGTCTTGTAATGATTCTGAAGTAAAATAACATTATTAACAAGCTATCTTGATATGAAACGTAAACGGAACCAATTGAATTATACTAACCACTAAAATTTAAAAGATAACTCCAATAAAAACTAGTTTTATGAAATTGATCTATATGTAGAAGGTATTGGCCATCAATATCTTTCCTCAAAGTACGTTTTCCACCACTTTTATCCGCAATTAATGATTCTAACATGGTACGAACCATATAAAGCTGTGTTGAAGAGGGTCCTAAGAAAATATATCTTTTAAAATACACTAACTATTTAAAAAAATTAAATTGAATTTTTAATATAATTAAATATTTTGAATCTTACCAACATTTCGCCGTGGTACTTTAATACCAAATCCATTATCAGGATCCTTTTTTCCTTTCAGTGCAGGATCTCCTAATGGTTCTACTCCAAAATGCCAATCTGCACAAGTTTCCCTTACAGATACAATTATACTGAAAATCATAATAAATAATTAAAATAATTGAACAATTAAATAAAATTATATTTATATAAAATAGAAAATTATAATTATATGAAATTATATTGTCATGAAAAATATTACACAAACCTCCTAATAAGATCCTTTTTATTTTTTATGGCCTTACGTAACGGTTCCCGTAAAGTAAGTTGCACGAAATCTTGTAACTCTGCATATATATTTCTACGTATTGCATCAATAAAAACTGTTTCCATACGTGCCATTAATACTTGTAATCCCTTGATCATTGCAATAACTTCTATCAAAGCAAATTTCTCTTCATCTGTATAATTATAACGTGTAGCCTAAGAAAAAAGGGGGTATTAGTGTACAACATATTTTTAATAGAAGTAATAATCAATATGCCTCACTCTTTCATATTCTTCAGCTTCCTGGGGACATTCTTTATTCATATGATGATCAGTAGGATGTAGAAGTTTCCAACTATAAAGCTCTGTTACAACACTTGTCCATTGAGAAAGTAATTGTAATCCACGTAATGCCAATTCTGCAGTTTCATGGTTTTCTTTATCACTACCACACTCCTTATATGTTGTAGTTACTTCATTACTGTATCTGTAATGTCACAAAAATATTTTTCTGTAAATTCAAGAATTAATATTTCTTTTTCATTTTATAAAGTGCAATTATTTATTATCACCTTGCTAATTCACTAATATATTTAACATGATCTTCTCTAATTTGTGGGAGATGCACCATAAGATCTGCTTGTGGACTTATACTGTTTGATGAAGAAGACAATGGCCATTTTGATGCATCAAAATGTTTAGAACGTTTAATATAATTAAAAGGTGCAATTTGCATGTCACCAAATAATGGCACTACTTCCAAGTTTTTAAAAATTCTATCAATTCTGTCTAACTTTAATTTTTTTTTCTGATCTAACTTATTAATATTGCAAAGCTCACTATCCATTAAGAATAAACCAAATCCCATCACTTTTACAAGCATATGTTTTTCATTTGGAGTCAAATACATTTTAGTTTCAAACATATGAACACATATATTAACCACATCTGCAAGTAATTCTTCATATCCTGCAATTTTTTCTAAATTTTCTTTTACTGTATCACGAATTTTATTTTGTGTGGCTAAAAACATTGATAAATTTTGAGATTCCTGTAATGTCTGAGAATCAGACATCACTTTAAGAAACTGAGCAGCTCTGAAATAAAAACATAACTATCTTCAATAAAATGTTTGATGATATAGTCAATTTAAGGAACTTATAGTTACCGTCTATATGTAGAATAATCATTTTTTACACTAGATTTCATATTTTTAAGTTCATCCAAAACTGCAAACATATTAATAAATTTTCCTAAAGTAAGTAAATATGCTTCAGAAACAAAGTCTTTTCTTTTTTCATGATGACACAGACGTTTTACTTCACCAGAGAATCTTTCAATTGCTTTCCTCTAAAAAGTAACATTTGTTAGTTATTTCATAAATTAAACTCTATTAATAAATATATACAAACATTTTACTACATACTTGAAAATACATAAAATTTAATAATTTATTTACTTCCGGTGCTAATACCTCTACTGTTTTTTCATAAATTTCTACTCTGTTAGGCTGCTCATTTGATTTCGGTTGAGGTATTGCACGAGAACAACATCGCCATGTGTATAACATTACAGCATGTTTTAAACCTTCTTCTAATAATTCATTCTTTAAAATAAAAATAATAAGTTACATTCATAACAATAATATTGACAGAACATAGTTAATATTCTTCAATGTATAGTTGAATATTATAATATATTATTTATGAAAATTACTTTATTTTTTCTTACGAATTAATTTATAAAAAAGCAAAATTTAAAATTTTTATCATTAATAATAGAGTACTAATAATTACCAAACTTGCATGAACTGTAGCTTCTTCAATATACTTAGCAATTCCAGTAACAAAACCATTTCTATCTTCAAAATTAGTATCAAAGTTAGCTTGATATACTACAGAACATGGTTGTGCTTCAATACAAGGTTGTTCATCTGGTAATGTAAATTCATCAAGTACATCAACATTGGATAAAGCATCTCCCAAAGTTACTTTATCAGTAGCCATTACAATTTAAAAATAAACCTAAATAAAGATATTATATATAGTTAATAATTAAATTTTACTAAAAATGCGACACACAAATATAATTAATTTTTTTTTATAAATTTTAAATGGAGATCTACATAGATAAGTTGACAATCATCAAAATCAAAAGGTGGCCAAAAAAATCATAAAAATATAAAATTCGTCGAAGATAATCATTACTTTTGTAATCCTTACCTCTACAGAGGTTATGTTCTTAGAGATAAGTATACTAAAATCTTTAATTGTTTTATGATGCAGTGAAATAATTTTAGAATATTTTAGTTTATTCAACACATTTTAACACAATAATTTTTAATTATATTGTAAATATAAATGTATCTTTAATACTCCACCCTCTCACTAGAAAAACATAAGACAATTATTCTGTCAACAATACTTACGTAGGGCACTACATGTAATTACATGTAATAATTCACGGTCTTAAAATAGAAACTTAAACTAGAATTAGCTAATTTTATTATTCAATGTAGTTAACAATTCACTATAATCATTAATTTATTTGACAAAAATGTTTTTGAAAAATTATTATATACTCGATCATATACCTAGAAAACCAATTTAATCTTAATATTATAACAACATTTTTTTACCATATTAGTGATAGTTAATTTTCTTTTAATTCATTTATATTTTTAATTATATTTTATTAAACAATTAAACCGATATACGTAAAAAATAATTTATTTAAAAATCATATTTCGAAAATATAAAAAAGTATTATGAAAATATAATGCAATTAGTGATTTGTATTGTATCAATTTGTTTGTATAAAAATTACTATAAAAAATGTTATAAATCTAAAAAATGACACATTTTATTAAGTATTTACTGTTATATATCCATATTAAATTTATTAATATAATTGACAAAGAAAAAAATTTTTTAACAAGTTTAAAATACATTTTTTTATAAAAGAATGTTGAGAACCATTACTTAGAAATAATATATGTAAAGAAATATATATAGTAATTTGTAATACGCTAATATAAAGAATAAAATACGTATTATGAAAACATTATTTGAACCTGTCATAAAGAACCCTAATAAAAAATTCAAATTTCTATAAAAATTCTCTTGACCTTTTCGTAATTTTAATTAATAAAACTTTCGTTGAATAATTGTAAAATTTAATAGACTTCTCAACAATTCTATCGTGTACGTGTTTTTGAGAAATAATTCGACAGAGGGGAAGAAAGTTCTGCTTAAACCATTTTTCACCTAAAAACGGCTATATTATAGTCCTTATCAATTCCTACATTTTATAATGTAAATTGTAATGCTATGTATCGATATCGAATGTAACTTACGTCCATACAAAAATCAGAAAATCTCTTTGATGATGACACCCTCATGACTAAGATTCGATATTGATACAGGTTTAAAAAAATCAGGATTACATAATAATTGAGGTAAAATTATAATAAAAGATTTTTAATTGTCAATATTATTTCCAGTAATTAAAAATCTGACTAATAAATATTTTCTTTTATAAGAATTACCATATCCCTAATCAATTCTGTTTTTCAATACTTGAATAAATTTTATTCAAGAAGCATTGAAAAGCATAATGATCTATATGTAAATAATTTTTATAATCATTAATTTGTTTTCAATTTTTTTAATAATACAAAATTATAAAATTTATATTTACATTATATTTAAAAAATTTAATATTTTAAATCTTTAAATATTTATCTTTGGTAACTAATATATTCTCAATTATTGAAGCTAACATTGAGATTATAAATTGATTATAATGCTGTTTTCTAAAACCAAAACACATATTAATCGTTGCATAAACTATATAGTAGCATAATCTCCTCAGGATTTCCGCATCAGAATTAAGCTTTATCGTAAATATTTACACTAAAGCTATTTTGCATTATATTTGTTTTCTTTCTGTAGTAAATAAGATTGCTATAGAAAACTGTCTTTTTTGCATAGTATTCTTATCATTTTGTAACAAATATATACAAGCATAAGAAAGCGTAAAAAATAAATTTTATTTACAATTGTTTATTTACAATGCCTTTAAAGGCGAAAAATAAATACAAAATAAAAGAGAAATTGAAGAACTACCAAAAAACTGTCGACGGGATCGAACCCCGGAACTTCAGATAGGAATTTCCAGATGTTGCTGTTAAACCACAATACCACTGGGAAACTATTTATAAAGTTTTGATTAAACGGAATAATGGTCCATCCAAAGAGACCAGATATCATTGTTATCTTATTATTGTTTGCGTATCAGTTACGTGTCTTGCAGCTATTGGTCCATTTTCTTGAGTTCCAGAAACGACTTTTAATCATTGGTATTTGAGTCCGAGCACTGTGAAGTTGGCCCTGATTGGATTATGCACTGACATGTGCATACGTCACATTTGGTATCTTGTCTCGTTGAACGAACTGTACGTGTTGCTTTGCTTATGTCAAAGCTGTCAAACTCGTGATCCGGAGACCACGCTCTGCTTTTTCACCTATTACCTTATTCTGTCTACAACTGTTAACTATTCTGTTAATATTGAGAGAAGTAGTCAGAGTAATGGTGGGGGCAATGTATATTCTTCAGCCTTGGGTGGGGGCACTATTAACCAGTGGTGGAAGTAATAAAAATTTATTTAATAAGTCTTTCTTTTGTAGGTTATACTCACATTATTTTCTTTAATTTCTTTTTTATGTCACTCTTTTCATTCTTATGATTAATTGCTATCACAACGTAATTTGATTGCGGATGCGATCTATGAAAATACTTTCGTTCATTATTATATACGGTGTGTTATATCAATAAATCATTCAAAAAACTGTTCAAAGAAGTAGATATTACGATTTTATAAAAGATATGTATTTTTAATATATGTATTAATCTATTTTAGTAAATAATTCATAAAATATGACAGGCGAAGTATCAATAAATATCTTAACTTTAAATTGCTGGTAAGTTGCATTAAACATATATGTAATATAGAATTACTTTAATTTAGTATAAATTAAAATATTTTTACCATAATTTTATATTTTTCATATGATTATTATTTATAAATATTTTCATATGTATAGTATACATATTTATAATTAATGTGAGTATTTCTATAATGTTATATATTTTAGGGGAATTCCATATATTTCACAAAATAGAAGTGCTCGTATGACAGCAATTGCAGAAAAGCTTGCTACTGAAAATTATGATATTATTTGTCTACAAGAGGTATGGTCTATTAATGATTTTAAAATGATAAGAGCTAAAACACAAGAACAGTTACCTTACTCACATTATTTCTATAGGTAAATATTTTATTTATTATCATTTTCAGTTGCTAATTCTGATTATTTAAATAAAACATATTTAAGTCAAAATATGTTAATAAAAATATGATTCTTACTATTTGAAAAAGATATGATTTTTAATTACATTAAACTTCTATTAAATACATTGTAGTGGAGTTGTTGGATCTGGTATTTGTATCTTATCCAGATTTCCTATTAAAGATGTAATATATCATAAATGGCCCTTAAATGGATATATACATAAAATACATCATGCAGATTGGTTTGGTGGTAAAGGTGTTGGTCTCTGTAGACTCCAAATTCATAATATGAACATTAATGTTTATATTGTACATGTGAGTGTATGAGTTAATTACAAATTATTGAAATCTATTGTTATGTGCTCTTACACATATTAACAATTACTAATTGTGTTTTAGTTACATGCAGAATATGATAGGCATAATGATGAATACATAGCACATAGAGTTTTACAAGCTTTTGATACAGCCCAGTTTATTAGAATGACTTATGGTGGTGCTGATTCTGTAATACTGGGAGGTGATCTTAATACAGAACCTCAAGATTTAGCTTATAGAATTATTTGTGGTGTTGCTGGTTTGACAGATGCTTGCTCAAATAGTTCCAGTAATCTAGGAACTAATAACTGTGCCAATAATAGTTACACTAGTTCAAAACTTGCAAGAACTTTACCTGAGGGAAAACGTATAGATTATATTTTGTACCAAAATGCAAAGAATATAAAGGTACGTTAATTTATTTTTATTAATTTTTGTGAAAAATTATCTGTTAATTACTATATAATTATATTAATCATATTTTATTTATAGATAGAAGTAACAGATTTTCGACATCCTTTTCCAAAACGGATACCTTATAAAGATTTTAGTTACTCTGATCATGAAGCTGTTATGGCAACCTTTAAATTTAGTGTTGGTATGTTAATAAATCATATGTAAAATGATACAGAGATTGTAAAAAAGTTTGATATACTTTTTTTGTTATAGGTGAATCTCAATTTATGAATATAGACATAAAAGATTCATTAAAAGAAGCTATAGATATATGTGAAACTTCAGTGAAACATGTTCATAGACAACGATTTTGGTATTTGTTATACAGTTGTATATTAATTATACCACTTGTTTGGTCTATGGGATTGGATTGTTCTGTTACATCCCTTGAAGTATCTATTGGATTTAATATAGGACGCATTCTTCTAACAGCAATATTGTGTTACACTTTATTCATGAGTTCTATTTGGAATAGTGTCGAAAAAAATGCTTTAAAAGCGGCATGCTTAGAAATGAAGATTTATTTAACAAATTTAAATAATATTATGGGTAAATAAAATTTACTTTCCACTAGACTTTACTAGACTTTTTCAATCATATCTATTAAAAGTATATTATCTTATACGATAAATTTTAACATTTACATACATTGACATTCTCATTTTTATATTACTGCAGTAATTAAAGCAAAATGTAAAAATATAAAAAGTATTACTTTTTTATAAAATAATTGTATAAAATGCATTAACTGTTTTTGTGTAATAATTTTGTAAAATCATATAAGTTTGATCCCATAAATAATAAATTACAATACTTTTTTAAATTAAATTTAGTAATATATATTATAAATATTTCACAAAGTGATATTTTCAAAAAAAATTCTTATATTATTTTAGATTTCGATTATTTGATTTATAAAATTATAGCATGTGGGTATTATTTGACAGATTATAAAAATGTATGTTCATTTTTCTTTATTATTAAGTTAAATTAATATAGCCTTTATATTATTAAATTCTTTATTAAAAATTCTGATTGTATTTGGTATTTATTTATTTTATCACATTCTGATATTATATATGTGTACACGTATGTGCACGTACGCGTAAAGATTATCGCACTATAAACAAATATTATTGCCTATGAGATCTCCTAAAAGCTATATACTGGAGCAATATCTTTTAGTACAAATATATTTAAATATCGTGTAATATATTAGCACTATATATGTAGATATATATAAATTTTTCTACAATTGATTATATACACTATAGACGTTCTTGAGCAAAAAGGCTCCTAATAAATAAAAGGTGTTGTGTATGTGTGTGTGTGTGTGTGTGTGTGTGAGGAAGGAGGTGTTGCACGCGTGTGTAATTGACTATGTAAATTGTACCCAAAGGAATTTAAATAGAAAACATTTTGTTTCACATATGTTATCGTAGCATCCCTGTTTTTGCGAACATATGCTTCAGTAGGCAATGGTACTAAACATTTCCTATAACTTTTGGAATGTGAAAACAATTTAGGCACTCTTTGGTTTTTCCAAATTCAAGGCAATTGTTCAACATAATTCTTTGGGACCAATCCCGTTTTACCATTTAATGTACCTTCTAACCAACCTGGTTCCAAAGAGGCCTTTACTGTAATAAAAAATTATATTGGTACTTGTAAGTATCTTATCTATAATAATTGTCATGTAACCATAAATGTTGTATACCGTTTGTAATAATTTGATTTGGTTCAAATGACAACTCTCCATCACTTTCGGCCACACAAGCATATAAGGTGCGGACTCTCCTATAAGAAAAAGATATATTTATTAATGTTTAATATTGTTATTGTAATAGAAGTGTATACATAATAAATTATTTAACGATTTTTAACAAAAATTTTGTTTACCAAATACCAGGTACTTGTCCAGGACTTGAACGTCCACTGCTAGGTGATGTATTAACTCTACAAAAAATGTTTTATACAAATTAAAAAAATACGCCTAGATAAAAGACATAAATGTTCAGTTAATAGAGGAAAATTTACACAGATACTGATGGATTGTTCCGTTGAGCATAACTTGATGGATAATGTACAGACATCATAGAACCACGTTTATGTTTTACTGGCAAGTCAGATGAAACTGAATGTGAATCAGAGGCAATTGATTCATTGGAACTATTTGTATTGCCTGTAAATTAAAACTGAATGTATACAATATTCACAATTATGAAATTATGAAATATACAAATGAAAAAGTACATTTTTAAACAGAATGAAAATAACCTTTATCTGCAGAATGATACATAAGATTCGTATTAGTTAATTTTACACGTTCACTTCGATCTAAATATGCTGGAATTCTGTGACTTGTGTGATCTGTTTCTTCATAGTCTCCATTTTTTCTTTCGTCAATAGTAGATGATTTAGGAACAACTGCTAGTGGGCTATCATAGTATGATCTCGTAACAAGCTGTACAAATAATTTAATTTCAGCTAATATATTGTATAATTCAAGCAAATTTGACTTTTTGTATTAAAATATAAAATCAATTAATATGTAACTTACATGTCCATGTGGCGATGACATAGCATGTACTGGATACCTTAGAAAAGGAGTACCATTACCAGAAGATGTCGGCCCATCCTCTACAGTAGTACGTTGTGATCTAGCAGAAGCGGTATTTTGTGTTGAGCGTACAGTATCTTGTGGCGGACCAGCAATTATTCTCTCACAATTTTCGATTAAAATCTCAACTACGATGCTATAAAATTTGATATCCATTATAGAAGCTACTGTTTCTTCTTCAGGTCGCAATAAAGATGGACCGAAACATACGGCCAAATTGCCAATAGTCATTAAATTTTTATCACTTTTCTTTGCAACACTGCAAAAACAATACAATTAAATAACTTTGACTAAATTGTCCAATTTTTTAAATTTTAATATCAATGATATAGACTTTGTTATTAATATAACAAAATAATATCTATACCTGTACAAATGTTTAATAAGAAGAACTAGCATATTGAAATTTGCTTTTGGAAGCCGGTAAACAAGATTATGAATATCATTGATACGTGCTTCTTTGATTTCTTGTTCTGTTAAAAAGAATAGTAAAAATAAAAAATATAGTAAAAGGATTATATATTTTTTATATAAAACATCAATATAAAAGGTATTCTAAATTTGAGAGTTTCAAATAAAATAATATTATAGAGAATACCTATACGCACTCGCAGCTGAAATGAAACTATTATAGTATCGGAAGGTCATTAATGGTTCAGATAACGTCCGTAAGTATGTTTTGAGTGCACTAGTAATAGTTTTACTTTCCCATTCAAAGCGATCATCCAGGTTCAATTTTTCTAATTTCCTTCTATCTAGTCCCATTGCTAAAAGCTTGTTTACTTTGGAGGTAACACCAACAACTCTATATAAACCTTGTTCTTCAAGGCCTGAGAGAATAATATAATTATGTTGAAACTATTTTTTAATGGAATATTATAACGAAGGTATTAAAAAATATCATATATGTAAATGTTTATAACAATCTTACCCCTTTCTTCAAGCGTTGCAATGCATTTTGATATGAACATGAAACCTGTTTCATCTAAAATAGTTTCTTCAGATTTTGTTGATACACCTACTACAGGATAATTCTAAAATTAATAAATATAATGTATCATTATTTTGCGATTATTTATTATGTAAAATACACTAATTGCAAAATGTAATGATTGTTTTTTAACAATTATTAGAAAAATTAAATAATAATTGTTACTTACTGGTTCTTTACCATCCATAGCATCAAGCCATAACTTTCTATCTTCTTCAGAAAGTGCTTGGAATGTATATACAACATTAAGTCTAAAAAGATAAAAAGATCAATAAACATAATCAATAAAAATATTTATATTATGAATTAATGATAGTGAAAATGTATATTTTCTATTAAACGTATATTTATAAATGTAAATATTTATAAATGTATATTTTCTATAATTGGAAAGTAAATTGTAATAACATACTTAAATGTATTTAATTTGAACTTACTTATCAATAGTAGTGATATCAAAACAAAATCGTTTTTCAATTGTATCTGACATACGACGTACACAAGATGCCAATATTAAAACTTCTTTGCTGCTCTGTTAAAATATAATACTAGTGAATCTTTTTTTTTTTATATAAGTTGTTACAGCTAATAGATGATAAATTTTACTTACAAACTTGCCTGTAAGTTGATTATATGGTATCATTGTAAATTCTTTTTTATCCTTTTGATATGTGCAGTATTGCTTTGTCCATGTTGTGCCAAATGCTTCTGTAAAATTAAATCAATTAAACATTATAATATAATTATATTAATATATTTAAATGTAAATAAAGTTTGTTACAATTATCAACTAAATAAAAAATTATACACTTACTTTTTTCCATTAGAAACAAATAACCTTCACGTGTGTATAGTTTATTGACTCCACTTTCTACAGCAGACTATAAAACGAAAATATTACTAGCATTTCCATTAAACATTACTAAAATTAATGCAAAACATTAACATTCTTTTATTCAAATAAAAGAAACTATGAACGTAAAAATTTTATTATTAAGCAACAAATGATCTTTTGCATCAATTTTCATTAATGAACATAAAAATATAATGTGAACATGTGAACATGAACATAGCGCTCATAATAGTTTTTAGAGTTAATAAAGCAATCTTAAATATATTTCAACAAGACATTTCTTCTTACATACTATAAATGAAAATGATTAATTCTAAAAATGAATAAAAATAATGTAAAAATATATCACATACCTTTTTCATATCCTTCATTTTATTCATAAGTGATTCTGTTTTATCCCGGGTAGCAAGGAAATTTTCTCTAGTCTTGTAAAACACACACACACACATAAAATTTAAAATTAGTAAGCTATTTGCCATGCTGTTATCCTAATAATATTTGCACCACACAATAATTTAGTAAGAAGTTACATTTAAGTATTTCTACAAGTAGTTGAACATTAACAACTAAATCAATTATAAGAGAATTACTAATATTAAAATACTTAAAGTGCACAACAAAACATTTAAAAATACCCAAATTATATATCCCAAATAATTCTCTCAAAATATTTGGGGTATGTTGTGTCACATTCTTATAATCACGAATACTACAATAAAATGAAACATTATATATATGTATAATAAAATGATAAAATTATTTTTTTCATAATTCATTAAAATTAATGAATCATTATAAATAAAGTGTACATTTTTTATAAAATATATTAATATAACTTACTGTATAAATTAATTTCTGTAATACAAATTTTATGAAAAGTGGAATGTGAAACAACAATGCACAATGTACTTTATAAATTTATATAAATCAATGTTATAATGCACAAAGCAATCTTTTTATCATTTAAATAGTGCTAATGTAAGTAATCAGTTTTAGAATCGTGCTTTTGTAGTACTAATGCCTTTTTCATGTATATTTAAGCAATAAAATATGAGGTACTAAGAAAACCAACCTTTTGTATTTTTAGTTGTAATTCAGTCATGTAAGGCTTAAAATCCTCTGCAACTTCATGTCCTTGATGATAGAAAGTTAACCAACCAAACATAAAACCTAATAACTGAAGAAAATAATATTATTCGTAACTTGTAATACTTACAAGTTACTTTTAATTTATTATTTACAATAATTTAATGAAAAAAATAAAAAAGAGAAACTTACAGTTTCAACAAATTCAAATTTTTTGCGTTCTTGTACTTCTTGTAGCAAGAATACATACTCTAAACTTGCTTGACAAAAATGTCTCTCAGCCATTTCCAATGTTGCATCAGCCTAAAAATAACATATCCTATTAGATCAAGTACTACAAATGTTTTACTTTTATGGTATATAAATACTTATACAATATAATTATATAAATAATTACCTCTTGAAGAACATTGTCTTGTTTTTTTGTAGATAAATTCAAGTAACGTTCTTGACTTTGACAAAATTTAATAGTTTGTTTTTCAAATTTCTTTTTTCCGTCCTGTTAATATATCACATTTATATATCACTTTTTAAATAAAAAATTATAATACATGCATTAATTTTTGAAAATAATTTAAAATATAATTATATAATTTGACAAATTGAATACATGAAAATTAATATATTACCTTAACACCTCCGATGTGCTCTTTTCTAAAACTTTCCAAGGGAAGTATAATTTGATCATAAGCACGTTCAAGCTAAAAATAAAAATTATTAAATTAAACAAACAACAATAAAAGTATCTAAATCTAAATTTATTAAATCAATAAGCAGTGACATTGCTTTATATTGAAATAAATATATACAGAAATAAAATTATATAACATTTAAAAATCATATGTGCATATATGCACAACTACATATATTACATAAATAAATTATATATTTTAATGTAAATAAGTTATAATACGAGTATATACAGTAAATTAAATAACTATTTTGTGATGTATACAGCTAATGTTTATTATAAAAGCAATAATGTGAAAAATAAATTAATATGTACCACACATAATAATATAAATCATATATAATAATAAATAATATACACATTTATTTTTAACTGAAATGGTAAATAACATTTTTTATATATTTAAATACTGTTTTAAAAACCTTAAATAATCTATTAATTCTAACATAATTTTTATTCACATTTTATTCAGAACATATTAACTAAAAATATTTTATTTCTTGAAAATTATTATAATTGTCACAGCTTTGATACACAAATGATATATGTTTTCTTTTACATTATTATATAATAGTTGAAGCAATTTTAAGTTTCTATTTATATTATCACTTCTTTAATTAAATCAATAACTTTAAATGTTTTAATGATAAATGTTTGTAAAAATCAAATACATAGAATACTTACTACTAATATACTATTTTATTAAATAATAAAAAAATTTATGTAATTAAGTAACACTAAAAACAAATTAGTTATTCTGATACACATTATTAAAAAATAATTCAATAATTTTGGGGAAGTGTGAAAATATTTATATAAATACAATGTTCAAGTCACAATTTAGTTATTTTATTATCCACACATTTATGTATCAAGAAACACGCATAATTATTTATAATGTTAAGAGAAAATATGTGACTTATTAACATACATTGTTTTAATAAGCTTATTGTAACTACTTTAACACTAAATACTAAAGTGAACAATATTGTGCCTTAATATTCAAGATAAGAATTGAAGAATAATTCAATTCTAATTATTTAATCTAAATATAATGAAATTTTATATCATATCATTACTAAAATACAAGATTAAGTAGAAAATTATTAAATTATAAAAGATTACTAAGCCACATTCCTTATTAAGAAATGAATGCAAATGTATGCATGTGTCCTATGTTCACACATGCACACACAAATATTGACATTACTATAGTAAAACAAGCATAATAGCATTCTGTTATTTCACTATTTGGGAAAAGACTTATTTTGCATAACAAATATTTAAATATGCAACTTACCTAATATATTAAAGGTAATTAAATATATAACTTGTTATAAAATGTTATTAACCTATTAATAGCATTAAGAATACTTGACCTTTGTTTTTATATGCATCAACTGCTTAAAATATTTTATAAGGATATGTTATATGTAACAGTTACATGCAATAATATATGGAAATTTTGCTTGCTCCTTGAAGAGGATATTAATATAAATGTTAGAAGCTTTTTGTAATTCAAAAATAAAAACTATTTGTGTGCATTCAGAAACATGACAAAGTATATACATTATAATATACTAAATTGTTTGCTTTTAAACAGTTAAAAAATAAATATGATTTAATATGCAAAATATAGAAAGAAGTTTGATTGAAAATATGACTCAAAAGATATACCATTAAATAACCAGGATGTGCTCCTTCTATAAAAACAGAGTTTTTTATAATAGCACTTATTACATTTTTATAAACAAATAAATAATACACAATAATATTTGTTACATAAAACATACAAAAAAGTTTTGTATCTGAAATATTTCTATTACTATACATATAAGAAATATAATACACAAAATTTTGTTATAATTTTGGTAGTATTTATGTTATAATATTTAATTTCTCTTATATCAAAAATAAAAATCAATTTCTTCCCAAATGATATAAAACTAAACAGTAATAAATGAATAAAACTATAATAAAAGTATCTTACAATTAGATGTTTTAAAGTAAATTATTTTCATCCAAAAATAGTTTTTCAAGAAATATAAAATACATTTATATACTAAAAACATTGCATACCATGCGATCCCTTTCATCCTCTATTGATGCAATAAGTTTACCAAATTCCTTAAGGCTTTGCGATATGTGAGTTTCGTCTTCTGTTTGAGTTTCTCCAATACATTCAAAACTAAAATTCTGCAATGTTTTGGAAAATGTTCTCTGGGCTCTAGATAGGTCTAAAAAAAAAGTTAATAACTTTTATTGTCATGATTATAAACTTTATACTACAATATTATTCATAATACAATAGTATTTTAATAAACAATATTATTTATAGTTATTACATCTTTAATTATACAAATAGTAAAAATATAATTATAATGCAATAAGATATTATTCTATATAATATCAGAATATATTGTAATATAATATAATCATAAATGAACCAAACAAAATTACATATGTTATGCATGTTACATGTTATTAAATATATATATTGCAAAACAAAATATGATATAAATAAAAATATAATTTAGAAAATTTATAGAAACTCATAAATCTAGAAAAAGGTTAGTATCAACATATAAGGAAATTGTTCAATATTATAACTTTGTAAGTAAGATATGCCACTGAAAAACATGCAAGTAAAATAGAATAAGATAAGAGCAGCTGTTACATGTGCATACAGAAACTTATCATATACGACGAATAAACTTACTTTTGGCAGCTAATAAAAGATCTTTGACCTCTTTGATGAGCCGTTTAATTTGTTGGCTGGTCTTTTCCAATTCACGTTCATGATAATGAAGATTTTCTCGAAAATAAGGGCTATCGGTTAAGCAATCCGTAAACTCTAATGGTTTGAGGCCAACACCCATTATTCTTGATTGTATATTAAAATTCGAATGTCATTAATAAATCAAAACAACAGAACCGATAAATTATCACTTAGATTATATATTACGATTTGTGATCATTTAATAAAGACACGATGTTATCACAGTTTGTATATCAAGATACTTTGTAACGCAAATGTTCTTTGACGTGAGTAAAATCGGTTCAGAAAATTTCTTTCATTTATTGATAGTCATGAACGATACATTTTCTGAATCTTCGTTAAGCTAATACAAATCACTAGCACGATTATGTAGACAGGAGTTTTACAATGTCGATTAAAGATCATGTACCATCTTGAGTCAAATATACTAACTACACTTTAAATGGCGGGTTATTCAAAACATTTGTGATATTTACAACATGTAATGTAAAATTATATTATAAATACAACACAATTATATTAAATAATTATTATATAAAATATTATATACTGATTATGGTATTTAAAGACAAAATTTTTATTAATATATCTATAAATGCTGTAATTAATAATTCTTTTTTAATCAACGATTTTTTTTAAATAAATGGTATTATTGATTTTAATAATAAGAGACATTAAATTTATTAAAATAATTATATAATATATAATATGTTTATAAATCTATTATTTTAAATAAGATTGAATATAATATAATATTTAAAAAGCTAAGAATATATTATATATTTACAAAGAACTTTACTAAGAAAATTAAAATTAATAATTAAATGTGTTGTTATCAAAAAATAAAAATTTCTATGTTTTTAAATACAGTTTATAATTGTACAAAAATTAGAATAAGTAATAAGTTATAAAGTAGTAAATAGTTTTCTAATTTTTCCTCTTAGATGACAATTTTTAAATATTACTTACCTAAGACTACAAGTGGATGTGAAAACTTGGAAGCAAAATTTGCTTTCTTAAATTGCTTGAATTCCATACATTTCTTACCCAATACCGAGATAGTTTTTGCATTAACATAACATCATATATTACTAAAATTACATTGTCTTGTATACTTACAAATATCGATCTTCGATACAAAATGTCTACGTCTTGAACTTAGGTTTGGATTATCATAATCTTGAACATGAACAATTTATTGAAAGAATGGAATCCCATTGGTATATTGGTAACGGGACTTTATGTAGTACAGTTGTACCATAAATGAGAATATATAAACTAAATGGATATAAATCTTATATTAAAAATATAATCTAGGAATAATTTAATTTTTAAATAAAAAAATTTTGTTTTTATTAAATTCAAATCAAATTAGTACAGTTGTTTACGTATAATTTTCATAAATAAATTTACCAAAATGTTGGTTAGATTTCTTAATGCAATTTCTCTTTTACACTAATAATTTTTCTGATATATCTGTCTTCTTTTTAAGCTATATCAGTGTTGAACATGAAATACCAAATTCGTCTTTGGTTGTTCCAATGCTAGTTAAGCTTGTGAAGTATAAATTGAATATCTCGCTAGAGAGAAATGTGGTCAATTTTCCAGTCTATGATTGTGTGGTGTTTGTATAATAGGTTACATTGTGTCTTAAAATGACGTTTCTAATTTGTAAATATTATTTATTTAACACTAAATAATTTTTGTTGGTTATTAGGACTCGTTGACAAGTATTTTCACTATCTGTAAACTTGTGTATTATTTATCAATTGGTGTGAGGTTATGATAAGAAAATTAACTTGAGTCACATCCTATGCCCAATGTTTACTATTAGATCATTTTTTGGATCCATTGGAGGTAAATAACCTATTGTTTATATTTCACTTGAAATATTTAACTGTAATTAGTGTTAATTCATAAACATTTACATAACCTCTTATGTAGCGTGCTTGTTTTGACATTCGGTGAATTCACGCTGTGATTAAAGCATATTCTCATACATCTATTTGTAATTTGCACATAACCCTTTATTTAGGTAAATTTAATTTATTGATTTTATTTTTTATATTTTGATAGTTTTTGATTCCATTAATTTGTCGTTATGTTTAAAACATTTGTTATAATATTCATAAGATGAGATAAGAAATATACTAGTCTCATCAATAAACAAATGTACAATAAAATATATTTGTAAAATATTTCATATTAATGTTTTTTACATTTCATAATAAATTATATTATTACTATTCATTAAATTGTTGTACTTAACCAAAATTTTTTTAAATCATTTTCCAAATTTTGTATAGTATATATACAATTCTCTATGTATATTTTATAATATAA